GGTTTTTTTCTCCATAAGACCTCCTCCATTATTTGTGGATGTCGGTTGTCTTGCATCCTCAAAAGATGAGCAATATGAAATGGAGTGGGAATTCTATTGAACATCTAATCCCCTGACATTGTGCGTCTGCACATGTTTGCTGCTTCTCCTCAAATCTTCCATTGCTTTGCTGATTGTAGCAAAAGGTCCTGACCTTTATGTTACGTAAAGCTCGGGTTAGTGATCTTCAAAAACATGCTTTTTTGTTAAAAATGTTCTGTTTTTGTTTAAATACTCATTACATTCAAACAGCAATCAATACATATAATGCTTTTGCAGCAATTCATTGAATCTTGAAGTCTCCCTCAAGCTGCTAGTTTGACAGCTGTGAGTACTAAGAATAGCCATGTGTTGTTTACATTCACAGTGATAATTGTGAACGAGTGGCTTTGGAGGGAGGCCCTGCTAGCGTGGAGCTAGTGCCGCTAGCGTGGAGCTAGTGCCGCTAGAGTGAAGCTAGTGTCGCTAGCGTGCAGCCAGTGCCGCTAGCGTGGAGCTAGTGTTGCTAGCGACTTTCATTAGAAAGAGTTGTCATCACTGGGCTGGGCTTTTTGGTTGGAATATTCTTTTTTTTTATCTAGCGTACTCTTGCTTGTTTCTCAACATTACCAACCCTAGCTTTAAGGTTGAGATGCATGTGCAGCTTAAAGGGCAGCAAAGGGGTTGTGTCTTCTTTTATCTTCATAATAGAATGTCACTGAGTTAATTAGGTGCCTCTAGACAACGTATTAAGTTAAAAATTGTATAAAATGGGAATGATTCTGACATTTCAGCCAACAGTGGGAATTTATTTAATTCCTGGTTTTTTTCCTCATAGTGTGAGAGAAAATAAGGTCAATTAGTGTACTGTATGTGTGTTTCACAGTGTGAATTATGCAATATCAGCTTCTCATTGTAATATCAGCTTTTATATACACATGTAAAATGGGTGGACACACTAACACACACTATTGAACACATGTTCCAGTTATTGAATCAATAACTAAAAAAACATAAATTAAATATTTACATTGGTTATAACATTCTCTAAACATAACACATAACATTCTTTTATTTTTTTAAGGTATTTTTCCCCCTCATAAATACATATATTAGTAACTGATACGCATAGAAAAGATTGTACTGTGCATTTTTCAAACAATTGTAATTCCAAGATCTGTCCGTCAACCAAGAGAGCTCCATATATCTCATGCCAGGTTATAAATGTAATTTTGGCCATTTGAAACAGTGGTGTGCAGTACATAAAACAATACATAATATTTGGGCATGATAACATAATAGACTAGTTTTTTTGGATTGAAACCTTTTCTTTGCACAGATCACAAAGAGGATCTTCAGAGGACCTGCATGCTATCGTATGCATGGACGAAGGCATGAAAATATGCACACACATGCATGTTCAGCTTCACACATGCAAGAGTACGATGACTGAAAAATGTCAGTCCCTCATCTCCAGCACACACGTATCTCCAGTAGTTTGGTTTGTTAAGCACTTTGGCCTGCACACCCCGATATAGCTAGTGACACAAAGCGTAAAACTTCCTGCTCACCTTTAAAATGCTCCACTTACTAATGCAGCAGCATGTATATTCATCTGCAGACCTTTAAACATTGCAAGCTGGAGGGTCAGAGTTGGGGTTGGGTGGTGATATGCCTTGGGCCTTAAGCTAAAGCACACTTATTCTTAGGTCTCCAGTGGCGAATGTATTTGAATACTGACCTTTATACTCTTGTTTCACATAGTTCTGCTGTAAAAACAAATGGATCTGTTGTCATCTGTAAGACTGCAAAAATATGAGGATTGCCGTTGAGTTATATTATATTGAGTTTTCCAAAAAATAAAACAAAACAATGCTGCTTAATTTGTTTTATAATGACCACGTGTCCATGCATGCAATGCTCCTGGTTTCATGGAGATGTGACTGTTAATGTGTCTGGCTTATAAGTGGACAGGTGTATTTGAATTGTAGATTAGAAAACAGAATAATTAGCATTAGTAGTTAAACCCAGCATACAGATTCTTGATAATGGATTAAACATTGTTTTAATAGATTAAGTAGATTTAATGAACCTAAAATTGTTATGCCTCCACATAGATAACGTCTTATAAAGCAGGAACTTTTGTCAATAACCCTATGACCAGTGTAGCTTAATCTGGCCAATCATTGCAACCTTAAGGTAAGTATTGCTATGTCACGGACTGTGCACAGTCAGCTCACTGACCGTATGACTGCCCTCTACTTGTGCTACTGTTTGAATTTTAGTTAAATGCTAAAAAGTAGTTTAGCATCCAGCATTACCCCATATTTGTTAAATGTGGCCAGAGCAGCCACTGTTCAGGTACAAAGTCTTGGTTTAAAGAATCATGCTGAGACAAAATGGTGATTATTTTACTGTAGTAAAAACGGTCTCGTGTTCACACCATGTTTCCTTCGGACTGACGTCCTATTGGTAAGAGCAGGAGTGTACTTGAAGACAGAAACCCCTTCATCCGGCCCCATGGTGCACCTGTCTCTCGCTATTACAAGTCACATGTGTCCTCTAAGTACATAACCTTGCAGCAAGAGTCACATCATGCCCCACTGCGGAGACCGATTCAGATCTGTGGCCCGTGTTGTACCTCGACCATAGCTCTACAATGACTGTAACATAATGGTAAAATAACCCAGCATTACTCTGCATTTGTGACCCGTTCTCCCCCAAAACTCCATCTCTTCCGTCTCCTCTTCTACTCTTTAATTTGTCTGTGGCTGGAGAAAGCAGTGGATTGGAGCTCACAGTGTGTGTCTCTGCTTTTAATTTTTTACATCACCTCACTACGCACTTTTATGTAACCGTCTTCTTCTAGATTTATTTTTACCTCGTGCCCCCACCGTATGTTTCATTCTCCACGTTAATGCTTTACACCCTCAATGTTTTTTACTATCTGATATATTTTCTATAGAATCGCCTTTTAATGGACGAGTATTTGGTGCAGTCAACAGTATGGGGATAATTGGATGACATTTGGAGTTGTAGTAGGGTACTATAGGTATTGCATACATGCTTATATATTGTTGTTCATTTTTATATTATTGTATTTTGTCAAGATCAATGAGAGCTTTTAATGGTGACCCAAGCTGCGGATTGTATCAGGAAATACTGTGCACTGCTGCCACCTGTTGTTCAAAGAGTAATACCACAACAAAACAAAAAAAAGGAGGGAACACTGAGCTTTCTGCTGAGTTGTGACTGTTTTGCTGACCAATTTAAGCAAACAGATACAATCACCATCATATCCTATTACCCAAAGCTATTTACGTTAGTCTATTCGTGACTGTGCTGGCTTTTCCCTTCAGCAAAAACACATTTGTCATCTCTGAAAGCACAACCGGTTCTAATATGTTCTATGCAGGTGAAAGAGGAACGTTGAGGTTACGTGATGGATAAGTTAAATAGCTTTTCATGACTGTTCTTCAAAATCACATGAAAGATTAATGCAGTGGGAGATTGAAAGAGTGGAGGAAATCCTGAAATAAAATAAAACAAGTCCTGCAAAAACGTGCATTGATTATTATGGATGTGAATTGGCGTATTAATATACAATAGGATAAAGTGAGTAACACTTGATAAAAGATGGTTTGTGTTGTATTGATCTTTCACCTTTTCAACAGTGCCTTTAACACAGCTGTGACTGGTGAGTCCTGCCTGTTGGTGATGGTGAGTTGACTTGTGCAGATCATGAACCTCTTAAAGGATAATGAGGAGATTATTATCTGACTGTGCCAGATGATACGATGCAGAAAGGAAGTTCCTGATGGCAAACATCTGTCAGGGGGATCACAGCGGTTTACTTATAGTTTTCTGAATACTTAGTTCTCCATCTGCATGTGTTTGCATGTGTGTGCTTGTGTGTTCAGGGGCCTCATTTCTATTTACGCAGTGGAGGGGAAAGATTGTTTAAACATGTGTGATATCATGTGTTCATTTTTGCTTCACGGTCTCAAATGAGCTATGCAGATTTTTCCAGGAAGTAACATAAATTAATATTTTATAGACAAATGCAGAGAAATTGCTGCATGAAATGCATTAGTGTCACATGATCTATAAAGGTGAAGAGGTAACTTTTTATTTTAGTGTGACAGTATTGGAACGGAGGCGAAAGGGCTGTGGGACACCCAACGTGAGAGGTGTGAATTCATCAGAATTATGCATGACTTTATGTTTAATTAATCAGTGCATGTTAAGTTTTTACCTCAGCTTCACCTGGGCAATCACAGGACTGCCCTCAGCAAACAGCAAACAGCACACACACACACACACACACACATACACACACACAACTTAATTTGACTGTCATGGACCCGCATGCTCAGTTTGTGCAGTGCTCTGCTATTCAAACAGCCTGGACAAGCACATAGAAGTGATGGGGCAGGTTTCTGAGGCTTACATAACTTTGAGGGAATGAATGTTAGATTTATGAAAGACTACAGAGTTTAGGCTTTTTAAATGCCTTGTCTTTAGAATAAAATATTAGTCGAGCTGAGAATCACCTATATATGTCATATAATGTATAAAATCCTAAAATGGTCTAAATTAATATCCTGTCTGAGATTATTTTTACTTACTAGCTGCTTTTACCACAGTGAATTATGTTGTTTAAGTAGCCTCAGCACTTACAATATAATAAACGTTTACTTCTGCTCCCAAGAAGCCTGTTAGATTTTTAATGCTGAGCACTTGTAGGGAAATAAACATAACTCACTCCCACTGTTTTCCTTCCCCCAATGCACACAGTCTCATTTTCTTAAATTGGAGCTGCGCCATGAATATTAATTGGCAACCATTAAACACTCTAATGTTCTTGTTTGTACCGCAGTAAAGAAAATCACTAACTATCTGTTGCCCTCTACATTAGAGTAGGAGAGAGAGAGAGAGAGAGAGAGAGAGAGAGAGAGAGAGTGGGGGGGAGGTTACAGTTGTGAATTAACACACTAACAGACACACAAGTGGGCAGTCTTCACAGCTAACGCATATCTACATGCTCAATATGGTACGAGCAAGGCGCCAGGAAGCAGAGCACTAGTTCAGTGTATTTCTGTGTGTGCATGTATGTGTGTGTGTGTGTTGGGAAAATAAAGTAATGAATAAGAAGATGAGAATATTATAGATCAAATCTAAAGTACAACGCCTGTGAAGAACAGGGATCTGTCACCTTGAAATGCACATCCTTCACCTGCTACCATTCACTTGTCAGTAGAGTTATTACTGATTACTGCATCGGTTGCCAGCACACAGCACGAGGGCACGAGGACGCAGGGAGCTAGAAATAGGGGGAAAGGCTGACAGATGAGTTGAATCAGGCACAGAACGGAGGGAGTGGCGCAGGGAGGCAGGAGCAGCTTGAGTGTGCCTGTGTTTGGCAAGAGGAATCAGAAATCCACGAGAATCGGCTCAGAGAAGAGACTCGTCCCTCAGTTACAGATCTGAAAACCAGTGAGAGGAACCAACAGGGGCAAATCCCCTCTAAGATACAGAGCTTTGGAGGCAAATCAGAACGACAGGCTGACAAGATCTCGAAAGAAATAGAGGACTATTACTCTCTGTGTTGTTGGACCAGGCCGGTCTATACACAGTGACACCATGGGTGCAGTGGTGGGCACTTTGACCATGCAAACCAAGCAGAGGAGACCATCCAGAGGTACGTCAACATTAGTCTGAAAGAAAAAAAAAGATGGAGAGAAGGCAAAAGAGCAACAGAAAGCGAGAGTAAACTGAGAGAGTGAGCAGAGCGAAAAAAACACGCAGAAAGGAAGCCTTCAGATTATAATTTAGACCGATTGTAATTCACAATGTGTTCCATGTTATGTTACACTCGTACGTTTAACATAAACAATGACATGTACATGGTTGACATATTTCTGTTGAGTGACTATGAATTATCGAAGAGGGAAGTCAGTAAACAGCAAAAAATAGACCAGCTAATGCATTTAACCAGATGTTACTTACATGCAACCACATGACTATACATGTAAAATACATTAACTAATATAATTGGTGCATTTGTTTTAAAATACAAAAATATGGAAAAACAGAAAATAAGGATATCTATTTTTTTAAATGAAATGTTTGAAATATTCACTCATAGAAGTGGCAGCAGAATTGTGAGGGATGAAGCGATAATAGGTGAGCGCCATAACACCGTGGTCATGACGGCGAGATTACAGCACGCCATGAAGTATAGGATGTCCTTGGAAAAACAACTCGGGAGCAGAATCACTGACTCTGCGACTGTACGTGTGTTCGGTGCGGACGGCCGTGGAACGTGTGGGTGAGTGAAAGAGAGAGGGGGAGAGGGTTCAGGCGAGAGCATGTGAATTAACAGGCAGCTCACATATCATACATCTCCCTGGCCTTATGCTTGAGATCCTCGTTGTCATGGAGACTGGGTTGTAGGGGTGTAAGAGGAGAACGATGCTCAGCCAGGATGAATGAGGAATGTGTGGCAGCGTGAAACCAGAGACAAAATAGATGAACCGGCAAACGAAGCGCTTACTCTCTGACAGTAGACGTACAGCAGCCCACAAGACAAAGGTGGTGTTTGGTTTTACACTGGTGAGATGGAATCATTCGTCCTTGTGCCTTTTGTCTTGCATTGCCAGCTGTGCAGAGGTATATGGAATGTGGTGAGACAAGATAATACTTTATTGATCCCCAGGAGGGAAAATAAGTATCTCAGTAGCACAAGAAACAGGTATAGGTCAAAGCAGAATACAAATAGAAATAAGTCTAGAGTCAGAGAGCTAAGTATATACATCACGATATTGCAGACCACAGAGCATGCAGTACATGTGCTGAGTGCAAAAGCAGTAATATGCCTGTCTAATTCTTGGCTGGGTGCAGTAACTTCCTGGAGTTTTCGTCACCGTGTGGTTGCGAGGCAACAAGCAAGGACTCCAGGAAGTTGCTGGATTAAACAAACAAGATAAAAAAAACCTGTTAATCAGTGAGCTTTAGAGGCGCTAGTAGGTGGATTTGTTTACCTATCGACCGAGCCAGGCTGTTTCCAGTGTTTATCCTTAGCTTTATATTTTATATTTACTGCACAGACGTGAGAAGAAAGCAAACAAGCGTGGCGTATTTTTTTATCTAGTGGGGGAAACGTGACATGCTTTCTGCACCCCGAAATGCCCACTGAATCCCACCTGTTGGATACAGCAACACTTGGACCACCTGATCAACCAGTCACTCATATTGTTTGTGCGTGAAAGCACTACTGGCCTGAAGCTGCTGCAGCATGTTGGCATCAACACGACAGTTTATCTTTAAAATCACAATCTGACACACATCTATAATCGTCCCCATCACTTCATCATGTAACACGTCCCTCCCAGTGTATGTGCAGAGCAGCTGTTGCGCAATATGCAGCAAGACTCCATGCCTGGCATACAAGCGTCAATGCTGGAAATGTTGGCCGTGATTCTGCAGTATTTCATGTTCCTTATTTATAACTAACTGTATCTGGTAATGTTCTCATCTGGAGAGGTTTATATTATTACCGTGCGAGATGATACATGTGTGTAGTTGTGATCAGTCTTTCATGAAATCCCATTCGTCTTTTTTCTTTACGGCTTCCGAAACATATTGTCTGATCCTATTCTGCCATATAGTCAATCTCTCTCTCTCTCTCTCTCTCTCTCTCTCTCTCTCCCTTTTTCTTCACACTCTGCCACCACAATCAACACCTCTGCCTGTTTCCTTCTCTCACCCTCATTTCATGTCATCTGTTTCTGATCACACTGTCGCCCCGGCAGAAATAAACACACGCGCACAAGTGCAGCAGAGCAACACCTTTGTTGTTTTGTTGTCGTGGGATGAGAGGCTTTTACTCACAGGCAAGATAAATGCACAAAGTCTTTTTCACACTATTTTTAATCAATTGATCCATTGTAGGCACCACCCCACTGTTCACGTTCGTCCTTTCCTGCTATCCCCATGACAACAAGAGCCAGGGAGATCGCAACAGGAGCCGAGAGGAAGATGGAGAAAAGATTGAGAGAAAGCAACAACATAACCACATGCTGCATGTTCAGCTGATGACTGACAGTAAACAGTCCACACCAGTTCAGCATTCACAAAAACCTTGAGGATAAAGGGCTCAAATGGGGCCGATCTATTTAAAGGAGCGCTAAATCTATCTCAGAATATTATTTCTAAGTTAGCTAATAGAGCTGCTTCATAACCTACATATATCTGTACGCCTTGTTCGAGCTCAATAAACACACTGATAGTTGAAACATTTTTGCAAAGATTGAAACTGAAATCGAATAACAAAGAGGATCAAAATAAAAACACATGCAGCTAATTAGACATGCAGTTGAATCATCTTGGTAATTGTTTAAAAAGCAGATGACCAACAGGGTATTTGATATCAAATTTTGAATCAAGATCGCCTCTGGCAGGGGAAGCATGACACCAGATACAGTTTCAGCGTTGAGGATTAATCTTGACACCGCTGCCGGGTGGGTTGAAATGAATGAGTCATCGCCGCCATCCAAAAAGCAGACGTACTGTATTCATCTTACTCTCCTTTTCGAAAGGCTGGATGAGCCAACTGATGCTGCAGCGACGAGGCTTGTTTGTGGATGCATACGTGTGAGCGAGCCGTCAGTTTGGTCAGCTCTCATTGTGGGAGTTGGCAAGATTTAATGGGCCTTTAATAAGTAAACAATTCAAACGAGGATATAGCATTTAATATCACTTGGTCTCCATGCAGGTGAAACATATTGCTTCCATCACAGGGACCAGTTGGGATATAAATAACCAATTCCAGAGAGCACCATGTGTAAATATGCTGCCAGTGAATGCAATAAAGACTTCCAGAGAGAACTTCATGTGGATGTTTGCTCATGTTTGAGAACTCATTGGTGTGTGGATTGGGTCCGCTGCCGGATGCCGGGACGCATTGCCCTGTGGCTTGAGACAGTCGTAGTGACAAACACTTGCCCACAGCAGAACCACAACTCTTCACATCATTAACCTCCATCCATCTCCGCAGCACTTGATACTGAGCACCATTAATAACATCCCTCAAGTCCTAAGGGGAAATCTATTTGTCAAGTACATGTAGTACTTCTCAAATCCACTCTCCCTTTTTACCTCGGTGTGATCTTGATGAACTTGCTTCCCGTGTTGGACGCTCTTCTCTGCAAATTTTCTTTCTTTGCGACTCTCGAGTGTCGCTGGCTGCGCTGTCTCCTTCATGTGTATTACAGTTTTTCGCATTTCTAAAAACTAGGAGGAGCATTATGTGTAACAGGGATTGTAAGTCTTGTGACATGATTCTGAGTAATTAACACATTTCTTTGTATCTTTTGCTTTTTTTGTTTTTTCCTGTAGACAATATAGACGATGAGCTGGAGATGACGATGGTGTGTCACAGGCCAGAGGGTCTTGACCAATTGGAAGCCCAAACTAACTTCAGCAAACAGGAGCTGCAGATTCTCTATCGTGGATTCAAGAATGTAACCAACCACTTTCTCATTTTATTATTAGATTACATATATATTACAGATACTTAAAACAGTAAAGATAATAAATATAGATTTTTCGTTTACCCCTAATGGTATCTAGCCTTGCAAATTGTTTTTTTTTTTTGAGCAAGACTAAGAGTATACAGCCAAGCATTGCTTAATGAGGCAGTATAGGCAAAGCAGTGCGGTTAGTTAAATGCTAAAGTTAGCATGTTAACATTGTCATGTTTACCATCTTAGTTCAGTGTATTAGCATGCTAACATTTGCTAGTTAGCACAAAACACAAAGAACAGCTGAGGCTAAGTGAATGTTGAGTTTTTGCTGGAATTTGGTCATAAACTAATGTATTGGACAAATTAAACTGTTGACCTGCTGGTGGTGATGGATGAAACAAATAATCCATCCAGTTATGGTGGTGGACAGACAGATTGACAAAACCACATTCATGCACAGAGCAATGAGCTAATGCTAGCATAGCCAAAATGTCAGCAGCTGTCTTACTTTCCAGAGAACTTTCTGCTGTAGGTTAAAGAAAACATTAACTGTAGGCCTCCTAAACAAAGTCTTCATTTTGTCAGTTGTATTATGAAACCCAGTTGGTAACCCAAGGGTCTGAAAAGTGAAGCCAATGCGGAAATGGCTTAAACTTGCAATATTTTGAATTGCCGGCAGAGAGCGACTGCTCTGGTTGCAAACAGAAGTCCTAGAAGTCTATGAGAAAACGACTCTACTTCTCACTCGTCATTGAGTAGAGTATTCTAATCATAATTGATCTTTTCTTTCCACAGGAATGTCCAAGTGGTGTTGTAAACGAGGAGACATTTAAACACATTTACGCACAGTTCTTCCCTCATGGAGGTAATGTGCAACGCTTTTGAATCTCTTAATTTGCTCTGTGAAACTTTTTGAGAACCGGAGACCTTACACTTTTATTGTTTTGTGTTGCAGATGCAAGCATGTACGCACATTATCTTTTCAATGCATTTGACACTACGAACAATGGCTCCATTAAGTTTAAGGTTAGTCATCCTGCTTGGTGCATTGCATCTTGTGTTAAATATGAAGCATTTCTTTACTTCCATGTCAGAATCTTAAGTTTTTACTTCTGTCCCCTCGCCGTCAGGACTTTGTAATGGGTTTGTCAATACTGCTGCGAGGGACACTGCGAGAAAAGCTTGAGTGGACGTTTCTCCTTTATGACATTAACAGAGATGGCTACATAAACAGAGAGGTGGGACCGTGCTGCACTATGTGAACAGTGTTTTTGTGTGTCATCTTAAAGTCGATGTCACATCACAATGTGAATCTTCTCTTTTCTCAGGAAATGACTGAGATTGTGAGGGCCATTTATGACATGATGGGCAAGTACACCTACCCCGCACTAAAAGGGGATGTCCCGCAGCAGCATGTGGACGCCTTTTTCCAGGTTAATTTCTAAAATATAAGATTGAAAGTCTAAAGTCAATCTTTTTGTTAACAGTGACAGGTGATTTCAAACCCCTTTTCTGTGCTCTGAGGACAAACAATGTGACTCTTAATGTCTGTAAATGTAATGTCTCAAATTGCTCTCTCCTGTTTTATGAAGACACTTTGCATTAACTTGTACTACAAGTTTTCGATGAAGCCTATAAAATTTTATATCATTAGCAATCCCAGTCCCTGCCGTCCATAAAGCAACTTTGCAGTCAATATTTTTTAAATTTTAAATTCTTCATACGGTGCTCTATAGCGTGAACAGTTTTCTACAGTTTCTGTACGCAAAGTTCGTTGCAACAGGAGCGTCACAATAAATACGTTTCCGTAACATAATTATCAAATATTTGCCTCTATTTGCTTCTGATTCACATTATAATTTTCTACAGAAAATGGATAAAAACAAAGATGGAGTGGTGACTTTAGAGGAGTTTATTATTGCTTGCCAGGAGGTATGTATTGCCCTTGATCTGAGTTGCTTATTTCTATATGTAATAATAATAAAATATGTGTATGAAGTGTAGATTTAATAAATAAAGTGCATGAATGTACCTACAGTTACTTAGAGATGTTCCTTTCTCTATGTAGATTCACTATTCAGAATATTCAGTACTCATTAATACATGAATGTGCATTGTTTCATTATTTTGGCATGTCTAAATGAGGCCATACACATGCAGAGAACTAGACTTAAACATTACAAAGAATATAGAAGCATCCAAATATCAGCATGGAAACAATTAAAAACTGATGTCTCCTTTAATGTGAAAAGAACGATGATGTTATATCTGGATGCTGCTTTCTTCATGAGGCCTATACAGCCTATACATTACTATATACAGGGGTTTTCAGTTCAATGCTGGTTAATTGCGTCATTCTGCCCTGATTACTTTTGTTCTCTCTCCGCAGGACGAGACCATGATGAGATCCATGCAGCTGTTTGAGAACGTGATTTAGGACAAGAGGAGACGATGGAGACAAAGACACGGAAGAAATGAGAGGGCTTGGTGTGAGTGAGTGTGTGTGGATGCATGCATGTGCAATACATCCAGTCTCTCCTCCTCTCCCCATCCAGCTGTGGTCGGGATACAGTCAGATTCCCCCACAATGACAATGAAAGAAGGGACTGGGCTGGGATGCTTTCAGCCTTTTCTACAGAGTGACTGATGACCAGAGTGACTGATGTGACGGACTTGGACGTAAAAGACATCGCTCTCAGTCCTGTCTTGAAGATTGGCCTGTTAAAGATTAAGATGCTCCTACATTTGCAAGGCTGCTCCCGACCAGGAAAGAGCTGTCGTTCAACCAGCAGAAGTCTTTTTAATTTTTTTTTGGCAAAATATAATTGCATGCTTTTGCAAGAGGTTTTGATTTATCTCCAAACATTTGTCAGGTGACTTATGGGAATCTGGCCATAAGGACTTTTGTATTTATCTCAAGTATCACTGTTGCAGTGACCCCTTTACTTTTGTGTTAACCCGGCTGTCACTTGCCTGCTAAGTCTGTTTGATGCTTGTTGTTAAGAGTCTGTCTGAAACGTACAGTAGATTATCAAAGAATTGGGAAACGATACATTTCAAGAGTCTGATTTGGTGCGTGAGTGTGCCCGTCTAATCTGTCTATGTTGGAACTTTACAATTTTAGTGAAACGAAAGAAGAAATCCAATCATTCTTTTATTCTTCATTCTTTTCACCTGCTGCTTTGCTTCTTGTGGTCCAATTGTTGTCAAAAATGTAAAACAAAATATCGTGAAAAATGTGCATACATTTTGGATTTCATGATGAAGTGCCCGCAAAAACGAGAGGATGAATAATAATCAGGAAGAGGCTTGTGATCCTCAAAACAATATCTTTATTTGAACAGGTGGTCAAGGTTTTAACTCTGAGATGGCGACAATGATGACGGTAAAATATTTGTATGGTATAAACTTATTGATCTTCCTCATACTAGCTATGTAATTATGTACTTGAAATGCTATACCTCTGAGCGAGCGTGGTCAAATTCCTTGTATGTGTATACATACTGGGCCAATAAAGCTGATTGTGAGATGGTGGGCCATGTTAATGAAATCCTGGCATGAGGAAGTCTGACAATCTTGCAGGAAAATGTCACTGATTGTCAGCTATTGAATATGATATTTGATGACACCCAGGACAGCTCCATCTGTATCAGTCAACACTTGTCACTGACTCCTCCTTCCAAACCAAATCTGTGATGTAACACTGACAGGCACAGGTACAGACAGAAGAGGGGGACTCCTGCTGTTGCCCGCAGATGTTTTTTTTCTGTGAGGCAGGGTGTGTTTCAAAGCACCCCATATAATAGAAAACTCACTATAATATACCAGTAGTGGTTCATGCACTAAAATATTCATCACTGTTCCTTTTGCTGTTAGTGGAGCAGCTCTTTGCTAAAGGTTACACTAGTGTGACATCACAGCCTCTGGCCTCTGCTATCTTGGTTTGGAACAGTAATTGAATCTCACAAACAGAACATTAATTCTCGGCCATAAGAATAAAAAAATGTAAGTTCTTAAATTGAGTGGTGTTTTACTTTGGATGTGTTCTTTCTCGTGTGTGTGCGTGTGTGTGCGTGTGTGTGTGTAGTGTGAATTGTATGTGTGTGTGTGTGTGTGTGACACCGCATATATTGTGAGAGTATGGAGGTTGGAAGTATGAGGGAACTGGGTCCTGTTTAGTTTCGGAAGGCCATGGCGTTTTACACGACATCACGGCACACAAGCCCCCCACATCCGCGACGTCAACCACGCTACTGCCCTCTACTGGCCTGAACAGCCTCCTACACTGATCCACTTAAAATAGACAGATGACCAAAATAAAGTTAATTTTACATTAAAATAAAATACATTCATAAACAACACGTGCGAGTCACATTGTTCCAAAGACAAAACATACACGTTTCCCTGAAGATAAGTGTACAGTACCACAAATATGAACATGAAGCACCCCACATTTATTATACAGCACCTTCACGGATGTGGTGCTGTACAATTATAGTTAGGGAAGTGCATATTTTTGTATTTGGAAGAATCCGACCCACACAGAATATAGTGACATTGTTGATGACGTAAAATAAACGTTTTTGTTGGGATCAGTATTCTGTTTGTTCATTTTAAGTGGATCAGGGTTGGATCCTGTGCAGACCAGTAGGGAGCAGTAGCGGAGCAGAGTGGGTGATCTATCTATCCATCTATCCATCCATCCATCCATCTATCTATCTATCTATATGTCTGTCTGTCTATCTGTCTATCTATCTATCTACCTGTCTGTCTGTCTATCTGTCTATCTATCTATCTGTCTATCTATCAATATGTCTGTCTGTCTGTCTATCTATCTATATGTCTGTCTGTCTGTCTGTCTATCTATCTATCTATCTATCTATATGTCTGTCTGTCTATCTGTCTATCTATCTATCTACCTGTCTATCTGTCTATCTATCTATCTGTCTATCTATCAATATGTCTGTCTGTCTGTCTATCTATCTATCTGTCTGTCTGTCTGTCTGTCTGTCTGTATTTCTATATATCCATCTATCATCATGATTTGCAGTGTTCATTGTGTTACACTTGGTGGCGCTGTTTCTTTTCAACGTGTCTTGTTTGCTTTCTTTCTTTCTGCGTGAAACAGAGAAGAAGAAGGAGGCGGAGTAACACGTTGGTTTCCAGCAGAGGCGCTTTGCTAGCAGTAGTTGGTTGTTGTACCACCGCACACAAGCAGGTCGTCAGCGTTTTAAACCAAAAGAAAAAAATGAACGGAATAGAAGAGGAATCAATGACTCCACAGACGTTTCTTTACGGTAAGAGATAACTTCTGCATGTCGTGTGTGATTTTACGGTGTTAAACATGAATGCGACGTGTCTCCATGTGTGCGCATACGAGAAACCGATGAAATGCGGTATTATCTGATTGGTCCTCTTACCATTTTTTTGTAACGTTACTGTTGTCACATTAAAACACTTAATGTGTAACGTTTTACGTTGTTAATCATTCCAATATTGTAGCACGAGGTTGAATGAGTCTTGTAAAAAGCGCGGCTTCACTTCAGCCCTACGTGATAGCGTTACACGTGTTTGACTGTCAACATGGCGGCGCCCATGTGTTGTTAACAATGTTAATATTTCAGTATAAATCTGTCCTCTAAATTAATTACGACGCTGTTCCAACGTTTACACATATTGTTTTTGTCAACCGAACACCGTGAGTTTGATTTTTAACACGAGAGATTTTAGCTCGTGAGGAAGAGCCATCTCAACGTGGTTTCTAACACACGCGGACGCTGCGGAATAAAGTAGACCTCTTACTTCGTAATTCGGTCACTTCGTTTGTTTGGCGCTATGCAAGCAAACGTTTCATAATGCTGTTTTCTACCATGAGATAATGTCATTGTGACTGAAATAACTAATATTTAAAGTCGCACTTTAAGTGTTTTATTTGGATGATCTGCATCTCTCCGTTAAGTCACCTCGTTTAACCTTTCGAGGGCTCATCGTGGGATGGAAACTATATTTAAACATTGTGAGATATTTAAAGTGCAGGAAAACGTTCCAGACATGAGATAATAAATTGGTTAATTCACCACATTTTCTGCTTAGATCTGTATTAACTATTTAGGAAGTATAGTAAAAAAAAATCTGCCTTTGTGCCAACAGTCCACCACCTTGTTTATAACGAAGCATAAGACACCCATTAGTTCTGTTAATTTGAACATGGTTTTCATGAAATTATTCTAAAATGATTTAATAGTTCTATCTTCTAACTGAGCCAACACCATGTGGAAATATTCTGATCACCAGTCTGTATGGCTCCCCCTTGTGTACATTGAAGATATAGCACCGTGCTCCCTGCTATGAGGTCACTACCCACAATATATATACTTGTCTTTTTTTTTATTTTATTTTTTTAAGCAAATTACTAATATGTCAAAATAAAATCTCAGCTTTTAAATTACTGTTGTTGGAGTGCTTTGTGTAAATTGTGTTTTCGTGTTGTGTCTTTTCATCAGGGTGCGTGCTGGAGGCCGGGAAGGAGGTGGTGTTCAACCCCGAGGAGGATGACTTTGAGCATCAACTGGATCTAAGAATGGTAAGAACCAGGAGGTCTAATTAAAGTTTAAAAATATAATAATTTATAAAAAATTCTCACAACTTGTCAGAAATTCCTCTGCTGACCACCATTTTAGCTATCTGTATAACCCCTTTTGAATTTGTTAACCGCTCTGTATGGATTATGCCATTTTTAAATAATTTATATATATTAAACAGTTTGTTAATCGATCAAAAACACCTGAATGTGGCACAATAAGCTGAACATGACTCAAGCACATAGAAATGTTATTGGTAACTTGTAGTTTAAATGTAAGGCAGGATGCGCATGATTCACGTCTGTCACCGTGTTGTAGAGAGCTAGACGGGTCGGGTATGAAAGTTAATTACAGTCCAGTGCTGCCTCCTCCCTCCAGGCCTGCGTGGACCCCGGTACCAAAGACGAGCTTCACATGGTGGAGGTGGAAGGACAAGACTCAGAGGGTCAGAAAATCAAAGCTGTGCTGGTCTCGCTGAAGCCCTCTACCCTGCCAAGTGTGAGTACACTTCTCACGTGCGGAGTCGGTAACGGTTTCTTCTCATTGTGTTTTCAAAGTTTGTGTCCCCTTCAGCCGACCACACACGTTTAAAGCCGTAATGGTTGAATGCTACTCGTCACCAACATCGGCTCAGAAACTGATTTAAGTCGTTTGTTGCAGGTGTGTCTCGGTGGTTTCACCATCACACCCCCGGCAGTTTTCCGTCTGAAGGCCGGCGCTGGTCCAATCCACATCAGTGGACAACACCTAGTCAGTGAGTATTTGTCACGTGTGTGTGTGTGTTTCATCCAACTCATTTTTTAAAGTTTGAATAAACCGATATTTTTTTTTCATAGCACAGTATATCCGTTTGGTTTAGACGGTAGTGTTAAAATCTCATCTGATGTTTATTTCCTTTTTAAAGTGATGGATGCCGATCAGTCCTTTGAAGAAGACGATGATGAAGCGGAGGAGGAGGCGGAATGTTGCCCAGCATCAAAGAAAAGACCCGCTTCCTCCCCTGCCCACAAGTCTCAGGTTTGTTTTACATCATCACTGTTTTACGCTCGCACTTGTCTAAATGTAAATGTCCGTAACCCACTCTTTACCTCCTTTACAGAAAAAGATTAAAATGGATATGGAGGAGGATGATGAGGAGGAAGAGGATGATGAGTGAGTGATGCTTCACACACATTTACATATACAGATTAACTATCTGTATATGTTTTTGGTGAAAGACTGAACCATTCACATTGCATTTGAAGAGCGTCATGGCATAGTGTTCGTATTTAAAGAGTCTTTTGTTTTGTTTAGGGATGAGGAAGACGAGGAGGAGGACGAGGAGAGTGAGGAGGAAGAGTCACCTGTTAAGGCAAGCCCTGATTTTCACACGGTTGTCATTTCCAGCTGAATGAACATGCAGTTTGTTTTCTTACCAGCATCTCTTTGTTTGGTACAGGCCAAGGCCACGCCTACCAAAAAACAAGCCCCGGCTCAGAATGGCAAGAGCCCGAATCCCACCACCCCGTCCAAGAAGCAGGTAACTGTTAGACTTCATAAAGTAACCATTGGCTGTAGCCGGTATATTCCAAACATATGCTTTATCCTATGCAATATCTCCAAATGATAAAGTCTTCTCTCTCTGAATATCTTCATGTGATGTTCATTACAGGACAAGACCCCTAAAGGTAAAGGTGAAAGGTCACCTAAGATCCCCACAACTCCCAAAGTGGTTCTAACGCTTCCTGAGCTGAAAGCCAAGATCACAGAGTCAATGACTAAGGTTGGTGTCCCGATGCATCAGTGTGTTGTTCTATCGCTATGCTTGTTTCATTATTACCTGAAAGAGTGATGTGTGGCGTGACGGCAGATATTTCATTGGCTCATTTGTTGTAATTCTTTCCATTTCACAGGGAGTAACATTACCTAAAATCCAGCTCAAGTTTGAGAACTTTGTGAAGAACGGTCACAACGTCTCTGACTCCAAGGTACAGCCGACATTTATCATACAAACCTGAACCAGCGGTCTTGTATGAATAATGTATCTTAGCATTGAGATGTCAAATGTTGTGTCATATTAGAAGTTGGATGTTATGTTTGTGGTTAAAACCGGCCCAGTCTCTGTTGCTTTCCTATTTTTGGATCCTACAGTTCTGTTCAAATCAATACAGTAGATTATTTGTATTTGCACAGGAGCAGATCAGAAAAGCTCATCTACACGTTTGTAAAGTGCTCGTTTGGTTTAGATCCTCCCTTTCTAAGTAGCCACTTTAAATGTCTGCCACATGCTTTTCCAACACTTCTGTTTTGTATTCTTCAGATCGTTGCGGAGCTGTGGAAGTGGAGACAGGCCATGAAGGATGCTAAATAACTGTCTGTTGTTTTATTATCTCTTTTTATGACTGTTTCTACCCATAGCGCCTCTCAAACCCTCTGAAAGCAAACTCGGTGCCTCACTCTGGTCAATAATTCTACGTCTGGTCCAGAGACGAGAGTGATGAGGCGTAGTCTTTCCTCCTCATCGCCCTCTCACTGGGGAAGACCAACCATTCGGTTTGTTGAATGAACCAGCTTACAGATTTGCATCTTTTTGTAAATCATGTGTAAATCAAATTCTCGCTAGATTGTTGGCACCCGAGTATGGAGGACGTGTTCATTTGTGTTTTTTTTTTTTAAATATACGGTAAAAGGTTAATTTGGCTTCTATACAAATACAAACTCGTACAGGACTATTGACGACGCAAATGCAGAAACTTTCAGCTCGAGCTGGACATGGCGACATCATTTTAAGCAGAACCTTTTGGCTGACATCATCAGTGATGGTGATACTGATTGGGCAGTATCCATGTTTCTAGCGTTGTCCACCATGAACATAAATAATTGCACTTTTTGAAATGTTTTGAATGTGAATGCTGTCGAGAGATTCCTGAGGTCAAGATCCCACGACTAAAAATTGTCCACGTAGCATAATGGATGCGTGTAATTGATGTATTCGTCCGTCCGGAAGTAATCGAACATAGAGCAGCAAGCTGCGTCAACCCTTTGAGGACAGCGTCCCGCACATTTCAGCATGTGATCGCTAACGGTTAGGTACTTTGTGACTTACTGAATGCATGAAGGAATTTGCAAATTAGTTAATTTTTAAAAAACATTTTTAGTTGCTTAGCCTGTTTACAAACAAGGATGTGCAGATGTTATGTTCTTAAAAATTGTCCAACTGTACTCAAGTTTCAGGCCTCAACTTCTCTGCTCATGTGACCAGTTAGAGAAATATTTAAAATGTAGATTGATGCGGCCCGTTGGAGCAGAAGATCATTCCATGTTCTCAAGAAACAAGTGTTTGTACGAGTTAACATAATGCTGTGGGTTTGAATGGACTATACCGAGATTGATTCACTAAATAAAATACTGTTTAAGCGTTTCCTTTGTTCTATTTCTCTACCACGGGACTCAATTTGACCTATTCTGAAGATGAATGCAGGTATTTGAGTGTGCAACCATATACTATAGAAGGGTTAAAGTTTCATGCAGTCTGTGTGTGTGTGTGTGTGTGTGTGACGACAGTTCAAAGACGCAATGAGAAGGCCAGTTCAACACCATTAAGCCCTTTCTGCTCATGTTTACCTTTAATGATCTGATAAATGACCAGTTCTATAGAGCAGTGCATCATTTACTGTCTGTGATAAAAGGGTGATGCACAGTGATTATTATTCGGTGACTAATGTCCTGGGTTTACTCTGGAGGACTTTCTTCCCTCAAAGCACAGTGTAGATGTATAATAGTATGGCAATAGAGTTAAACCACTAGAGTTCTCTGCTGTGGTTGAATTGTGAGTTTATAGGGCAGAGGCAGACTTAGGTCAGACGGTTTGGTCACTTAGGAGTGAAACCATTACTTTCTGGATCTGGTCTGAGGGGAGGTAAGAATGAGAACTAGAGCAACACCCTGCTGGGTCTAATAACTCAGTATTGACTGAAGTCATGCGAGAGATGTAAAAAGATGAGGAATGAGCAGGATTCAGGGAGAAATGAATTAAAAACATCTGAGCCAGCCTAAACACTTTTACTGAGCCTTGAAAATATACATTTTTATGTAAAGTACTTTCATCCACCCGTGTAGTTTGTATAGCGCCTACACCCAACTAAATGTAGTTACCTATACACACCACAAGGTGGCAATAGAACCAAAGCATCTTTCATTTTGTTGGCCATTATGAGGCTGTGTATCCATCAAACCAGAGCAAGATGGCTTCCGGGCAGAGTAAAGTGGCTCTGAGTTCAGGTTCCTGCCTCTGTAGGAGGATCAACTGCAACCCGAGTCAGTTTACCCACCAACATTTCTAAATGGCAATATGCTGCTGCATGTGTCCGTTTCATGATGACCCCGTTTACCAACACTACCTCAAAGCATGCGTGTCCTCTTCATATTGTGTTATTGGTGCATAGAGCATCCATTTGTTTGGCAATTTTTCAGATGTAGATATTTAAACTGTTTAAACAGTAAAGTACTTCCTTATATGCATGTTAACAGTTCATTTTTGTGAAGCCATTTCAACAGGACAGAAAATAAATTTTTCATTTTTATTTTATGTACAACATACATCACAATTTTAAGAGTTAAAAAAAAAATGTATTCAGAGTGCAGCAACAGCTTGTGACTTAAAAAAAAAACATTAGCAATAAGCTAGGCACATTGACACAAACAGTAACAAATGGATAGCTCACATCTGTCATGCTGTATGTCAGCAAAAACATGGCAAGTTGAGTAAAAGTAATCAGTATTCTTTATTTGATATATAGGTACAATTTCAATCCAGCACTTTATTGAATCTAAATGGACTACAGTGGTATGGAGGGATTTGTAGTTTTTGTATAAATAAAAAGCACAAATAAATGGAAATAATGGGAGCCAGTTGCTGCTCAGGTGCTAAAATTATGAACTACTGCGTGTTCGGCCGACAGTCATTAATGGTGTAAGAGTCATCTATTGCCACATCAGGGTTGTAGTCAGTGCATTCAAACCATTTTTCCCCAAAACACTGTACATTCTAATGCACTAGCATACGATAAGTTGCATAATATCAGGCGTGCGTCACCTTAATTTTAACTTGGTGCTTTACAGGTGTCAAATAAGTAGATAGCTTCCTACATGGCGTACAAATCAAGCACTAACTGTAGCTCCGGACAGGACAAGGCCAATCAGCCATTATTAAAAATGGCTTTTTAATGCATTTGTTAAAATATTACAGTAACATCACAGGGAAGCTCTGAAGAAACTAACATATAAAATTAAATTTAAACAAAAAAAAAAAAAAAGATACTGATCAGCTCCTGGGATACATCTGTTCAATGTTTCAATATCTAAGTTGGACTAGCACGAATGTCAAAGTGTTCATTCTCTAACAACTCAAACGTATTCCTTGCTGCTGGGGGGTCTGGAGATGGGGTACTTCGGCGTTGACTTTTCTCTTGGGCAGGATGCTGTCAGCATGCCGCCTCCCACAATAGCCAGGAACGATCCAGCCCAGGCAATGAAGATGGCAGAACCAAACTCGTACCTTCAGGGAGAGAAGTTAGAGTTAGTCAAAAAGGGTCAACTGATGCCAGCAGAGCTCAAGACTGATCCAAAACAAACTCGCCCAATACATTCAGCATGAGAGGAGTGGCTGCACACATTCAAATGTGTGCGTGGAGAAGGGGCAGGAGGGAGAGCTTAAAGCCTAAATAAACCAGCAGGTCTAACATGTTTGGAGACATTGAAAATGTAGAAAACTAAATCCACCACACATCAATATTTTTACGTTTTCATTCTCACGAGTGCCTCTGCAGAAGACAAAACCGGGGCATAAAGGCTTTCAGCTGAAATTCGAATGAACTTACTTGGTATTGACGGGGGTGAAAGGGTTGTAGAAGGCTTGGATGATATCGTGAGCATACCAAGAGCAGGCGACAATGGCACACAAAGCTGTGGGAATGTAAAGAAGAACCTCATTTACACTGTCAAGAGTCAAGGAAATAAGACAAAATAAAAAGATAAAATGGCTTCTTACATCCAATCAGGATGATGATGCCAGCAGCCATGGCAATGCGGGATTTGCGCACTTTGTCATCTCCTCCACAGTTGGTGCACTTCATTCCCATGCAGGCTGCGCCCAAGCCAGCCACCAATACGATGATACTCACGATCATGAGGGCGCGGGTTGCCTGGAGGGGACCTGGATAAGAGGACAGGACGGGGTTAATCTAGCAGTTAGTGTATTCAACGCTCATTAAAAGTCGCTACACAGGGTCATGGGTGTGGCAAGACTTGGGCTTTACTAGAGTAAAACAACAAACGGCAATTTCAAATTAATTTCTGCAGCGACTTATGTATGCAACTTATGTTTTGCATAGTTTCTTTTATGCAGTTTGAAGCCAACATTTGGGAGAAAGAAAGAAAAACTGCAGTGTTCAAAAATACTGTTCAGGTACAACACAGCGGCCTCTGTCTCGTCGCCGCTCCCTACAACAACGAACCACACAGAAACTGGCTCTAACCGGAAGCCTAAAGAAACTACAGGGAGGGGGGGGGGGGGGGGGGGGGGGGGGGGGTGTGGGCTTCTATGCGTGCAAATCAAAACAGGTCTAACCAGGTTTCAGGTTTCATTATAAGGAAGACACTCCCAATTCCAATTTCAGGAACTCGCAGCCTGCTTTTCAGCAGGTGGACATTTTGCAGCTTCAACCGACCCCCTCTAGAATGTGAGGAATGCCCAATGTGGCTTAAACTAAAGATCTAGTGATCACATTTCCCCCTGTTTTGACACCAATTGTTCCTAAAAGTCAGGTTTGTGTCAGTGGGATTTGAGCGGGTATTTTCTGAATACCGCTTATTTGTTCACTTGCTTCATATCTAACCACCGCAGCTGTAAGCACACAATGTTTATCAAAGTTGGTTTGTGTTCATGTTTGAAGAGGCCGATAAGAAACAGTGTGCTGCAATTGTTTTAATCAAATGTTTTGATAACCAAAATAAAAATAAATACCAACATGCACTATATGGCCAGTTGGTGAACTTCTCTCTAACGCATGAGTAAGATACAGATGTGAGCACGTTTCAGAGAATCCGTTGAGCCGCGATGAACACACAGGGAGGGGCAGATACACAAAACTGTACTCACGGTTTCCCTGTGACATTCAGGCCGTTTACACCCGAGGGCAGTCAACTAGTTGAATTTTAAACATGTACAATGACGAATCCACCTTACATGACCCAATTACTGCTTTAACAAAACAGAGTCATAAAGACAGATGCAGTACATGGACTTTTTTTGGGGGGGGGCTTTAAGAAGGAAATGTAACAATTGTTACAACTTCTTTACAGATGGCCTTCATGATGAATAACCAGTTCCCTTTTAGTTTGTTTCTCCAAAGCACCAACACTGCCGGTCACATAACACATCCTTTTGTGTTCTTATGCAGGTGTTGGTGCTCAAACTGAAACTCAACGCTGTAAATATATTTTATGACTGAAGGGAAGACTCAAAGTTGTTGGGCACCAACACACAGCAAAAGAATGGCCTTGTGTTAGTTCGATACCCCTGTGGGCCAAAGACAAAGCCGCTGTTTGTGGGGGCTGGTACGCAGACCTGTTGACTAAACAGTGGCTCATACAGGTGTTGTTTAACCGGTGGCTGTGCTGCGTAATGCAAGGCCTACACTACACTATAGGGGTTTTCCACACATGGACAATGGCCTGCAGGATAATCATTGCCTCGGTGTAGAAGTGCACAGCCTATCAAGTGGAAATAATGTGAAAGAATTAAGCATGTGGCCTGTATTGCGCAGTGCAGGTGAGGCCTCATGGTGAGGTTTGAACAAAAAGAGCATTAGGAGGGAATAAAAGGGCAGTTAATAAGTGACTAAACCGGTTTGCCCAAGCCACAGGAACCGTTTAGAGTTGTAAAAGCTCAGGAGTATCTGCAGAAAATGGCTGAGAGAAAAGAAGCTTCTGTATTCCAACAGGTGCATGTCGGTTTTACATCATTTCCTGGTACACGTTAATTACCGCCTTCGTGTATTAAACGGTCAGTACAATTTACTTTAAACCCAGTTCAGCCACCAAGATAAGCTTCGAATGATAAATTACTTTTTTTTATTATTAAAAAAGGTACTTTTTAGGAACAGGAAAAAAAAAAAAAGATTTAACAGCTCTTCAATGGCTTTCAAGCCAACAGGCCTACCTATAATATGAGAGAAAAGTATCTTATAATTTTAAAACTTAAAAAAAGAAAAAGGAAAAACTTCGACACTGAATTTGAATCCAATAAGCGGGTGACTTACCGCTGAGCTGCAGGATTGAGTCGTACACTTTGCACTGGATTTGGCCTGTGCTCTGGAAGGCGCAGGACATCCACAGTCCTTCGTACATGGCTATCGCCGTGATGATGTTGTCCCCGGCATAAGAGGACATCTTCCACTGGGGCAGAATTGTGCCAATTATCAGTCCAATTAAGCCGATAAGGGCCAGGGCGAAACCCAAAATCTGCAGACCCGAGTTGGCCATTTTTTTTTTTCTTCTTTTCACTACTTCTTCGACTTAACGGTGAATCAACAAAGACGACGTCCACCTGCTGCGAAGGTGCAAATCCCCCACTCCTCTACAAACCGACGGTGTTTAGCGAAGTCTGCTTTGTTTCTGACAAAGTTAACTCTTCCGTTACTATCCGTTTCTACCTATTCCTCAGCTTTCTCAAGTGACTTCAGCAGAAGACGGCGCCGTTTCAATTTATAGTCTCTCAGAGATTCGTCACGCACCTGTCTCTCTGCCGCACCTTGAATGGGTAGGGAGTCACGGGAGCGAGCTTTTTTTTAGGCGGTTTCTGTCACAGGTGGGCGGGGACGCGCACGTATAGTTTCGACTCATCAGCCGTAGCGGCAGACACCTGAAGTTTCATGACGTCAGCGCTTCCTGAAACAGACCCACGCTCACAGACAGACCCAACGTGAAAGAATGTATATTTAGGTTATGATTATCTGGTTTGTGCTATTTATAATATGATGACACAGAAACGCATCTGATGTTAATGTTGCAAATGCTAAATTCACAATAATGCATATTTTAAAATGTCATACTATTTGATATTACCAAAATAAAAGCGGACACTAAGAGACAGCATTAGACAACATACGAGTGTAAGTCTAACCGCGTCTAGTCTAACCATGAGGTGCTTGGTAAGCAGAAAAACACATGAAAATCAGAAAACCACAAGGCATTCTGCAATACTACAATAATATTTTACATTTACAATCCATTAGAGCAATTACATCTTAGATATGGCTGCGACACAGTACTACACACAGTGAATTGTAAGCTCATGTATTTGGTCAGAACTCCAGCCTCATATAAAATGGAGAAGTTTGTACACATATTTTTTTAACAGGTAAGGCACCAAGGAGAGAACCGTGCTTTTGTTATGCATGAATGCAGTTGACTTAACGATATCGGCTTCATGGGTGTCTAATTAAAAATGGTCAAATTGGGAACTTGCATCAAGGTAAGCGGAAGTTGAGTGGAAACATTAAGTTCCATTAAATCACACAAGAGTCAAATCAGATATTTTATTGTGTAATATGATCTCACACCATTTCCCAACAGACTACAGGAACATTTTCTGTATGTAAGCAGTAAACTAAAGTAACGATGTATTTTGTTGTAATCATTTCAGCTGTTAACTTCAGAGAGATTTAACCTTGACCATATCGATAGTTTTTAATTAATATATTTATCAATTAATTAAATACACATTAAACAATCAATATCTTAACAGTTGGGTGCTAAAAGCTGGGGTATCCACTAACATCAAATATTATTTTTAAAGATGATTCTTTCACACATGTCATTTTGTTGGCTTTGTCATTTTTATGTGTGTGTGTGTGTGTGTGTGTGTGTGTGTGTGTGCAACTGTCATGTGCTTGAGTTATAGCACAGATTAAATGGCCCTCTGTAACCTGTTCTGACAGAAGCGTGTGCTTTATCTGCCATAGCTCAGCAGAATTGAACTGAACTGCACTCTGCCATGGAGGAGGTACATTTTGAACCCATAGAAAAGTCCACATGCGGCATGCAGCAGGCGTGGCTCACGGGCTCTGAGGCTGTTTGGTTAACAGTTATAAGCACGAGTATACCCTGCATCGATGCATCCTGTTGTTAAAACGACATATAGTGCATTTTTCAACCAGCACATCAGATGTGGATACTTTTAACGACATTATCACAGGTTCTACTTGGAAATCAGAGTGTGAGTCAGGGCTTCCCGAGTCTGGTTTAGCTGATCCCTGATCATGTATTGACTCAAGTGTTAATAGAAAGAAAAAGAATGTTTGACTGAAACGTTCCCTGTCAAAGGGAATGAGAAGGACTCGGCCTTTGATCAAGGCATTTTCCTGGTACACCTACTCACTGGTCAATAGAATGTGTTTGTACCAGCCAGCTCTTCTGACTCTGTTTATTATGAGTAACTCTCACTTCCCCTTCACACTCATCTGGTCTAGTGCTTCTCCTGTCAATCATTCATTGGTATGTTTTACTGTCTGTTTTGTAACCATTATTCTCCATCAGAGAGAATTCTGTCTTTATTTATTTCTGATCACGTCAGGACTTAGAGACAAAAGAAAACCTTTCAGTAGAATCCTTCATTAAAGTAAGCACCTTCCTCCTGGCACACTAACAAGGTGGAGATCTAAGAGGCTGGGAGTTTTATTTTCAGGAACACAGCAGCCTGAGGGAGAATCGCTCTCACATCACAGTTTGTTGTCACCAGTTCACTATGACAACATGAGAGGAAATCCCAGGACTTTAATCCCAGTCTTCAGCCGAATAGAGATAAAGCATTGTTCACCATGTCCTGTTGTTTCTCTGTTTTGTTATGTTTTTTTTTTTTTTTTTTTGAGAACTGGATGTTCGAATTTAAATCTGTAACGGTGTAATGGTGATATTTTTAAATTGTGCAGACACATGTGTGACAAACAGGTGTTATTGAGCACCAGCTGATCTCTATGCATGTTATTAGAAACTAAAATGTGCCGTAAAAAAAAAAAGATCACGCACAAGCGAGCCTAACAAGCACGGGCATGTGATTTTCTCACACACTTTTACTCGATTGCATCATAACATCGAACCATATGCAGTGGTAGTCATGTTCAGAAATTACGATGATACTTGCGCAACATTGACACTTCTCAGATTGATACCCACAGTCGCTCGCTGAGTCATCAGATACTGTAGGGAAGACGCAGGAAATATGATGTAAATATTATTTACTTGTCACAAGTTTCTTGACTCGTCAGATGACTCATCTAAATAGAAAACACATGACACTGAATGGAACAATGCACATGTGTTTATTCTGCTTCACAGGGTGTGTCAGCTCTGGGTCAACTGTCAGTCCTCTTCAAACATGTATTTACAATGCTCAAATCCCAGGTCAATAACACAAATACAGTTAGTTTGGTTTTAATGATTTTTACTGCTAAAGTGAATTTGTTCTGAGATTACATTATGTACTGGCAATGTAATTTCATAAAATGGTTCACACTATTTAAAAGATGTTCCCTAGCGACTAATGATATAAAGGTTGATTTGACTGAAATGATTACCTTCCTGTAAATCCTTCCATTAACATCCTTCGATATTTTGAGTCATTGTTTTTTTTCCACTTTGATCAGATGTTTTCCAGTCAGGATTCAACCTCTCTGTCTGACTCTTGAGTATTGATGAGTGTGCATGTTGTATCATGATTCTAGGAAGTCGGCTGTAGGACAAAAGGTGAAGGCAAGGCAAGTATATTTGTATAGCACATTTCAACAACAAGGTAATTCAAAGTGCTTCACATAAAACCATTAATAGCATCAAAACATAAGGCAAAAGTAAAGGAGATTTAAAAACAATTAAGAACATTCATTGAAACATTAAAAACAGTCATTAAAACACCAAAAATCAGTGTAAGAAATAAAATACAGCAGTAAAATGCAGAAATTGATTAATATCCTTGAATCTGGTTCAATTAAAAGCAGCAGCAAACAGAAAAGTCTTCAGTCTTGATTTAAAGGAGCTGAGGGTCTCAGCAGACCTGCAGCTTTCTGGGACTTTGTTCCAGATGTGTGGAGCAGAGAAACTGAATGCTGCTTCTCCATGTTTACTTCTGACTCTGGGAACAGAAAGTAGACCGGTCCCAGGCGACCTGGGGGGTCGGGATGGTTCATAAGGTAGCAGCAGATCAGAGATGTATTTTGGCCCTAAACCATTCAGTGCTTTATAAACCAACAGCAGGATTTTAAAGTCAATACTTTGTTGGACAGGAAGCCAGTGCAAAGACCTCAGGACTGGAGTGATGTGATCCACTTTCTTGGTCTTAGTGAGGACTCGAGCTGCAGCGTTCTGAATCAGCTGCAGTTTTCTGATTTCTGATGGCAGCATTGAAGAGCAATGCTGCCACCTGGTGGATACTGTGAGTATAAAACAAAGATACAAACTGCCATTTTAGCTCTTTGGCCGAATAACTAGCATCATATATGCTTGTTTACTCATTCTGTACAAATGGAGCAGACAACCACGTTCAAGGGAAATTTCAGGTGGATTTCTAAAATAATATATTCAACTTTTAAAGTATACACTCTCATATTAGAAGTGCACAATTATTTTACGGTTAAAATATAAAGAATAGACTTAAGATATAACTGGACGTCATGTGACTGCATTGGGAACTAGTCTGGATAGTTATAGCCTACATGTTCAACCTTGAAAAATAAGATAAAAGATCATTTAAAACCAGAATCAATTTAACATGAATCATATATTGAGCAACGGTTGTTTGTTTGTACAGGAGCTACAAAATCAATTTCAAGCCACAAGAAGCAGCAATACAAACCACAAGGGGTCATTGGGCCACGCATAGTGATGTATTAAAAATAATGCTCCTGTAGAAAAAACAATGGAGGTTGTTCCTTTAATGCTAATATACTTTTTTTGTTCCATTTTGAACCATTACTATCAGTGTTTTACTAAAATGTATTAATTTGAAAAGGTGATGAAATTGTGAATATTGTGAAAGGAGCAAACACATGCTTTCCTCGAATCAGCAGTCTCACTTAAAGTAGTTTTCGCCTGTAAAGAACTACACATATATACTGTAAGCTATGGAACATATCAACAATGATCAGACAGTTAAAAGCATTTGAATTACATCCAAATGTGCATGTATTTAACATTGTCCCTTAACTAGAATTACATTATGTTTAATGGCTTGGTTAAAGCTGCAGCTGTGTTGTGCTTGAGATGATCCACATTGTAGCTAGTATAGATACTCTCTCCATTTATATTCAATTAATCAAATAATGACTGAAACATATATTTCATTATTAAACTCCAAATAAAGATTATTTGTCATTTGCATGATAAAATACCAAAATACTTTTTTCATGATCTCATTTGTCAGTTGTCTTGCTTTGTATTAGTTTCTCATTGATATCTTTTGCTTCAGATCAATTATTGAAACATGATATATCTCCATGTTTGTTACCTTCACCTTCCGGTGACTCGGTTAATCATCTCATGATCGGTTTTCCCATCCATTCGATGTGGTGTTGTTGGCGTTCATATCAATGACGGAGCAGTCGATTGTGTGTCGAAGACATCCAGTGCTCGGGGAAAACATAATTAGATGCAACACATGCACAATAAAACCTCACAAGGTTGTGATTTTCCCACGTCAGTTCAAATTTAGCATGTAGATGCCTTGAACGGGAAACATGGGCATGCTGAGGGTAATTGGTTCCTCCAGCTATCGTGAGAACTATATTTGGTTTAATGCCTTAATCCTTATTTGCCGCATTAAGAAATATAATGCTCCATTCAGCCTGAGCGCAGACTGCTCCTCTCTGTGTGGGTTTGCTGAGAGTAATCTTATAGAAATGCGCGAGTCATGCTTCCACGAGATTTGAGATGTCCCAGTAAAGCGCGGGGAGGATGAGAGGAGGAAACGGGAATGTCTGACCCGGGCTGAGGCCACGTCTGAAAGGGGGGGGGGGGGGGGCTCGTTGCGAAAGTCAGCGACAACCCGGGGCGGCTCACAATAATCTCCCGGATCACATGCTGTTCAACTTCAGCTTGTTCTGGAGAATGACTCTTAGCTTAATTATCCCAGTCGGTGGGACACGAGCCATCATCCGTTTACCACGGTTATCGCCGAGACACTGTAACGTCTAATTGACTGCTGGGTTGTGAACTGGAAGTAATTGCAGCTATTCATCCCTCTGATGTGTTTTGATTAAATAATCTTGGTGCTTTGAAAAGACAGACGATCCTTCAGACGGATGTGAGTTTGTTAGTCTCAGACCAGATGAACACTGTGTAATGTCTGCAGATTCACATCAACGTTTTTCATGCGTCTTCATGCTTAATGTTACCTCGTCATGCTTCACGTGGAATCACCTGACGGATGACCTGTGTTTGTGTTCAGAGATTTGTGTTACTACTATAAAGCTTTAATGTCATGGTTGAAGAGGGGATGCAAAGAGGGGTGAGTGATGGTGGTGTGAAAGGTCATGTGCCAGATTTAAGCCCGCTTTTTAAAGATGACGGAAAACCTCCCAAGACCACAGCGGGCGCAATTAGCTTTAATAAATAAAATCATCTATTAAATGTGATTTTGTAGGGTTTTACTTCTAGCTACCCTGTTCAAAGAGAGTCCGATAAGCTTAACGAGGCCGTTTTTGATGTCGCTGCATGACACTTGAAAACCTTCTATAAATAAACCCCCATTGTTCCACAAGTACTGCCAGGCAGTACACAACACTGCACATAAATATCTAATTAAGAAGGGGGAAAACAACATATCAGGAGGCTTCCATCCCCTCCGTTGATTTGAGCATGTTGGGGAATTGGGAATCGCGGGGTTTGCCGGTTCAAGTACCCACAAGGACTAAGTACAGAGTGGGGACTGGCCAAGGTGCCTTTGAGCAAGGAACCGAACTGCTGCCCATGGAGTGAGGCTCTGACATCTCTATACGTAATGCATGTGTATAGGTCCTGTTTGTGCATGTGTGTATTTGGGACTGTATGTGTGAATATCAGTGAAAAAAAAAAAAAAAAAATATATATATATATATATATAGCAACACAGGGATTGTGGGATTAATAAAGTATACATTATTATATGCGCTGTCATGGAAGCAGGATCCCCAGAAGAGGCGTCTTCAGGCCGGGATCAAACGGGTGAAATTTAGAAAAGAGCCCTCCGCCACTTGGTGGCGCTGCCAGACGCACATGTTTTAATCTTGTATATTCAGATTACGGCGGGCTAATCAAACCCAAATTGGTGGAAAGAAAGCACAGAATTGGTAAAACTATTTTGAAAGGAAGTAAACAACAACAGCCTACGACTGAGGAGGATGGTGAAAGCGCACAGTTTGAGGACAAACGGCGAGGAGCTGTTTGTGATATGTAACGTTCACGGGCCTCACTCAGTGACAGGACTTTGGAGTTGCTACTATCTTAATAAAGATAGCCCTGCAATGAACAGTGACCCTAAAGAAGGAATCAACTGTCCTGTGAAACCAGCCGGTTTGACCTACATGTAGCCAGTTCATCATTGTGTCATCATTTATTCGGGATGTATCACGGCAGGATACTTCCACGCAGAGAAGGAGCACCTGGTTTAAAGGTAAGAAAGCCTGCCCTGCTGCTCGGTGCTATAATGTTTGGAGGGAGCTGGTTTTATTAGCAGTGCGCCACAGGTTGTATAACCAATGCTTTGCCAATTTGTGACGGTTTACTGTAAGTGCATGACATGCAGGTGCTTGTTCGTGTAATTGAGGTTTGACAGAGGTGGTTGGTTTGGATGGTAAACACTTCCTCTTAATTTATCTTTAAAGAAAAAAACTCATTGATGTGAAGTTTTCTCTGCCTCCTTTGATCCTCTTTTGCAGCTGAAAAGGTTTGTCTTCCACTGATAAAATCTGACGCATGTAGGTGTTGATGAGTGAAATTTTGCATATAAATAATGCAGGACTGTAATATTATTGTTTGTGCTTTTGGATTAGATATCTAGATGTACACATGGTGTGATTTATTTTCCCCACTGTGTGTGGTTTGTACAAAGGCCTCTGTAGTCTTAGTCTGTGGTGGATCACAACCTCACCTCATTCTATCCAACTTTGAGATGAAGTGAGCGTTAGAAAAGCTGAAGTTTGTGTGGATCAACTATAGTTGTGAGCAGGTTTAAAAACAGGCCATTCTCAGTTTTACATTGCTCACAATTGATAGTATAGATACTGTATTTATGGTGTGACTTGGTTTTATTCTATTGTTACAATACAATTGCCTGCTGCGCCAAACCTACCACGCCGTCTCTTAGCTCTGCTTGGACCTGTAGCCACTTATTTCAAAAAAACGCTGACACACTTTCTAATACGTGTAAATATGCAGATTACCCAACGGTGCCCCAAAGAGGAAACTAATACAGCATTCAAGGCACTTTAAAGGAAATGGGGGGTGAAAAAGACGACAAAACATCATCGGGCACTGCAGTGCTTACAATCATACAAATATATTGTTATTTTATTGAATAATATTCAAGAATAAGACATCTCCTTTCAATTCATGTAGGAGTTATTGTAGAAATGTACACAGGTCTGATGGCAAACACGGAGAGAGGGTGAATCGAGGGCTTGTGTCTGTAGATACCGAGAGGGAGTCATCCCCGATGAGCCGAAGAACAGTGACGTGTGCATGCTTTGCAAAAAAAGATTCCCTTTGTCAGTCGAGACAATTAGCAGTTATTTGTAGCCTGCAAATCCTGATTGTAGTTTGTTAGCCTGTTGAATTAGTTTCCCTTCCTTGAGTGCAGGCTGGTAGTTCTCATTGCATATTGCTGGTCTTTATTCCCGTTTGCTGCTTCCCGAAGTGGTCAAAAAAGCCAGTACGTTGCCTAGCCCCTTGCTTTGGCTCTTATTGTAAGGAGTCCAACATGTGTCTAAATCCCTGGTGACACTCGGGAAGTGCCTGAGGATTCAGGCCTTCTCTCTGTGGCTAATCTGTGCCAAGGCCCATTTTTATTTATGGCTTTTTTTTTCTGTTGTTCTTTTTCTTCTTCTTTTTTTTATATGGAAGACAAGAAGATCTGAGTTAAAACAAGAGTCCATAGGAGTAGGAGAGAGAGGTTTGAGGGAACTTCCTGGAAGACTTGCGTGACCGTAACTCTGAGACCACCAGGGTCATTGCTGTGTAGGACAGGACTCATATTGGCTTAAGGTTGTAATCCTGCTGTTTTCACTTGAATACATTGCATCTTTCACAAACACACAACTCAGTCGCACAGTGGGATTCAGTTTGGGTTCAGTTCACTCGTTGGGGCGGTTAAAACAGTGCCGACCGAAGACAAAAACACACCACATATGGAGGGACATTTGGACAGCAACAATAATTCTTACTCCTTCTGAGGAGTCTGCATTAAAAAAGGAAACATGACAAGGTAGCAACAACTGAAAGATAGTAAAGAAAAATCATAAACACAGATTATTTCAATACATTTCTGAAAAGAATAGCACTGACATAGTACATCAGATAAATACTAATTGTATTATTGACATAACATACATGTAAACTGGCAGTACATTTAGGTTGTGTTGTCTGGAAGCATGCTGCTACATTGTATAGAGATCAAGATCTTATTTAATTAGGTGAGTATCATGCTTTCAATATTTAATACTTCTGAACTGTGAGCACGGCACACATCCATTCTGTACTCTAATTTGAGGACTGATTTATCTTTTCTTTTTTTTTATGGGGTTTTGGTTATTCATTTGCAGAAAAAAGATAATATCCATAATTTCTAATCCCACTTAGGTTTTTCAAGGTTTTTGCCGAAGAAAAAACAAACAGTATTTCCTATTGCTAAGCAGAATTCTGTTCATCAAATGTAATGTTAAACGGTACGGAATACTGTTGAGTACCATCAGTAACTAGCAGTGACATTTTCGTTTTAATAAATAAAACCGTTCAATAGGAGAGCACCAATCAAGTGTCAGCAGCTGTCGCATTTGGAAGTGTTGCACATAAAGCATAACAAGGCATTGTAACCACATCAGGAATCCATTATACTAGTTATCACATCACGGCCTGATGTAAACAACAGGACCTCATTATAAATTGTATGAAAATGTTAGTGTTGTATCTCAGCACAGTAAAGCAGCTTTGAGTGTGATTGGATTGATGTTCAGAAAGTATGCCTACAAACCACACAGTGTTTCTTTGTGCCCCTCATTAACAGCGTCACCTTTTAGCAACCAAGTGCTTCCACTTACACACAGATTCTCTCTACAATAGGACAATTTGCATGGTGAATATCTCAGTATGCAATATGGTTAGAGCACGTCAGCAGCAGTATTTGGGACGATGTACCCGACTGCAAATAACTGATTGAACACAATATTAGAATATAATGTTGGAATGAACTGTGATTTTGGACAGTGACGAGCTTCTGTGTGATTACAAAGAGTCTGTTTTTTAAGTTGGATCTTTATGAGAATAGCTTCGGGTCATTCACAAAAGGACCAGAGCATCATTTGAAGTTTTCTAAATTCTTGCCTCTTTAGTTAAAAAAAAAACAAGAAAGACAATAATAAAACCATGCGCTTGATAAATTAAAAGATACATGGCTCGGAATGGTCTCGTGTTGCACACATTCATTTATGCTACAACGGAGCATGGTATTGCGATACTGTATTCAGTGTGATTCAAAGCGCCTTTTCGGCTCTTTGTAATACACTTCAGATCAAATGCTAGCAAGGATTGTTCCCAAAAATGTCCGTGGATGTTGGTAGCTGTTGCACAGTGCAATAAAAGCTTTAAATCTCTGCTGCACTGCTCAAACATAAACATGGGTGATGATGACTTAGCTGCAGTTTAATATCCATTATTGCCTGTTATTCCCACTAACTGTTATTAGGGGGGGAGTTCCCTGTTTCTTTGTTGTGATCTCTTACGAATCTTCTAACTTTTAAACGCTCCAATCAAAGCGTTGCTTGTAAGGTGCAATGTTCCTCACGCTCTCCAAAGACTACTGCCTTGACTACTACCTTTAGCAGATACGTGTGTCAGAGGATAGCATGGCTGCTGATTCTCACACTGTTTCAAACAAGAGGACACTGTCTCTGTCAGTGTAGAAAAAAACCCTTCCGTTGTCGCCCAACTGCATTCTTTGTTGAGTTCACAGTTAGGAAATCAAACAGCAGCCCTCTGAGTTCATTATGAGCAAATGGATTTTGCTGTCTCTGGCAGACCTTGGGGAATTTTTTTCTGCACCCATCGCAGGGTGGCTGTTCTCTCGTTTGTGTTTTATTGAGTCTATCGATCATTGTTTCAATCTCCTGCCCTTTCCTTTCCTCCTTGCCTATTTGTCTTGTCTTATCTTACTCTTAATCATAGATGCACACGCACAGACACACACACACACACACACACACACACACACACACACACACACACAGAGACACACAGACTTTACAGGCACACTGTTAGTATATACACCTACACAGACAATGTTGAAAAGAAAGTGAATGGGCTGTAGATTCTGTAGGCTGTGGTTAAAGAGAGCCGTGTAGGAAAGGCATTACCACTTTAAATCTCTCATGCGTGGGCACATAAACCACATTTGTGTTTTCTATTTTCCATGTCGACACCTCGCCGTTGGCTTTTCAAGGTAAACGCATATTCACATAATCCTTTCTGACATCTTACATAACATCGAGCTAGCCTTTTCTGTCTACCTCACATGAACAATTTATCCCATAACTTTTACATTCAAGAGCAGAGCTGGTTTCACTTAACGGCTGCATTAAAGTTCTACTTTCTGTTCCCGCCGCCGCACTAACTTCTCCAAACCTCCCGACATCCTTTGCTTCACATTCATCGTAAAAAACGTCCTGTTCTCTTGAGATCTTCCTGTCCTACATTCTACTTCGTTCTTTACTTAACATTCAACATCGGACTACTTAACATTCTCTGTTCCTGTCTGTCCACCTGCAGTTTCACCATCGCACAACTTACTGTGGCATTCTTCAGTATTAGGATAGTAAGGACTGGTCGCATTTTGGGACAGAAACCTATGGAGGATTTGGATCCCTCTGATGTTTAACATGATAAAGTGAGAATTAAATCATGGTGAGTGTTAAGTCCATTAGTTCAATTACTCTCTATCCTCTTTAATGTAAAGTAGAGCAGCAACAATTAGTCTATAAGTTAATGAAAATAGATTAATTGTCATTTTTCAAGCACAAATGTTGCAACAAATGACGTCAATCTAGGGACTATAACGGGCAATTCTTGTTACATTTATTAGACAAAACGATTAACTAAGAAAAATGATAAGCAGATGAATTGATAATGGAAGTAAATATAAGATGCAGCTCTACTATGTAAACCAAGAGGGGAAAAAAGTGCAATATTTCCTTGCTGTCACTCACTCACTGCTTTGCGCCTCCAAATACTTTCTTTTTATAGAGCGGACTTATGCTCAACTTTGAAATGTGATCTGGCATGAAGAAGCTCCCAGATGGAATACGCAAACATTGAAAACTGTATGAGTAGTGATGGCTAAAATAAGCCTTCAGCATTGTATGCTGCATGCTGTGCACACACTTTGATATCGTACAGTGGTTAGCAATGCACCGTTGGAAATCATTCTAGGCTGTACCAAATTCACCGGGGAGAGGGTAGCGCCGGCTTGTCAAAAATAGAGATTTGTAGGTCTACAATGCAAAATCTGCTACAAGGACAAAATATCCAAATTTGTACTGAACGATATTCCTCCTGGAAAAGCCCAGAAAATTAAAGACTTAATGAAAAAATGCAAAGCTCTCCAACTCATTTCCTCCATAGACCCCCTATCATAAATAACTCACAGTGCCTTACATGCCTCTTTGTCTTACATTAATTATCACATCCACATGCCGCATAAAACCCTGCCAAGAATCTGGCTTTACTTCACCGCAGAAATTCCTTATCGACATTCCTCAAGAATACACCTGCTAATCCTTCACTCTTTCTAAATAACTGCCTCCATGCGCCGACCTCTTTACAATTCAACACACTGTTTTCCGACTTGCTCTCGCCCTCAGTACAGCACATTCGTAGAGCCTCCGTTTCACATTCTGTACCCTCCTCTTCACATTATGTTGCCATTAAAAGTGGAGCACATCCCAATGCTTTGAACCTCCAAGAGATTATCTGTGATTGTTAGCGACCATATAATGAGCAGTTTTACATTTTGCCCTCCACATCTCCACGGCATTGCTCTTCCTGACATAACAAGGGACTCGCTGCTGTCTGTGTTTGGTCGTGGTATGCATGCAAATTCACGCTTGACTGAACATTGCGGTGACATTTCTTGTACCCTCGGTGGATGACCAGTGCAGGGAGCAACCACAACAGCAGCCAGCGTCAACGTTACAAGCCGAGACCCTGACAGCTCCCATTTAGAAGCCTCAGCTTCTATCAGGTCATTGCATGTTTTTCTAGAATTGCATCTGATTGAGAGACCCAGTGCAAACCAAAAACGTTAGTTAATTGAAATTTATGAAAGTATTAGATCAATGAAGTACCTTACGTGGGTTTTGGATCTCATTGGGTTGCCCAGAGATCCTCCGCCCCCCGCTGTGTTAGAATTTATACATTTCTCTAAAGTCAGTGGAAATGGTACGCAGGACAGATGTTCCCCCAGGTGTCACAGATTCCCAGAAATCAAAGACACAATGTCGTGCCCCTTCTCAAGGACATGGTAGAGGTTACCCGCCATATCTTCTGTATCTATCCTCTGCACTGGCTCTCATTTGCACACAGTGCACCCATACTGTAGAAGACGTGCACACGCATTGGGGTTAAAAACTGCAATCACACCAAAACATTCACTCAGACAACTCATATAACATTTTTTTGAAGGGGCGATTCTTCCAAGGTGATTTGATAAAGCTAGTGAGTGGATAAGCTGCCAGACACCCTCAGAATAACAAGTGCTCCAGCTCAGAGGCTCCTCTGGCTTTGATGTTGGGCTTCAAACCGGGCTTTATGCTGACAGCAGATGCTGAGTGAAGTATACGCTACGGCTCCCTTTTTTCCGGGTGACCGAGTTCAGATCCACCGTGGATTTAAAACATGACCCAGTTGTTAAATGCCGTTTTTGTATTAGTATTATTACAAAGCAATAATAAGTAGTCACCTGGTAGAGAAGAGGGGCTGGAAGGAGGGTGACGCTTACACTCTCAATCATTCACACACACACACACACACACACACACTGAGATTAATCTTCTGGCTTCTTCGTACAATATTGCTCAGGTGTTTAAGACTCTGGAGTAAAAACTTTATATGTTCTATTTTATGGCTCATCTTCCCAGGAAGAACAGTATTTTATATATATAATATTTTTTGTTTTATGTGACACTTATTCAAGCAGTGCCTCTCTTGTGAGCTTCATACATTTTCTATCATACATGTCTTCTGGAATTGTGAAATCCTGATTTGTGTCATCATCATCAGCGCCTTGCTGTTGTTTTGATCTTATGTCTTGAGCGTTGTTATCATCTTAATCATAACAACACGGACAGAGTTTCCGTATCCGTGTCCATTTCCATCCGGGCTGTCAGGAATTTTAATTTTGTAATATAATCAAACAAAAAAAACAAAAAAATGATTCTATTTGCTATTAGCTTTAATGTCATAAACTCTTTAAATATAGCTATAGCTTTCTCACACACTCATTTTGCTGACCTGACCTGACCCAGGATCCCTGCAGATATCTCTCCTCTGTGAGCTGTTTCATCTCACTTTGAGCTTTAGTTGACCTCTGTGATTAGCTTAGCTGTACGGCAGATGGTGGGTGGAAAGCTGGCGGAGCCACACTGTCACCAACTTTAGGGCTGAAGAGGGGGGGGGGTCCAGGGGTGAGGATTATGATGCCGAGTCAGCGCTGGAAAATGCGTGAGTGGTGAATATACAGTACAATAGAGCAGACCGTCGTGAGGGAAGATAAAATTGTCAGTGGGACAAAGAAGCTTGAGCATGACAGAGAAACGAAGGAGACTGTACATCAGGAAGTCACAGGAGGGGACAGAGAAAGAGACAAACAGTGGGGGAGGTGGTCGTAGTTCTGGCTCAGGCCCTGGGCTTCCTGACAGGTGGGGGGGGGGACTCCTCTCTCAGGCTGTCTTGGTTGCTGATGGACCTCTGACCCCTCTATCTCTCAGCATCTCATAGTGCACCTCTGGAAGGAATGTGGTGGCCAGTGAGGGCCGTCCCCCTCAGCCACCCGCAGTGCATAATGGCCGACTGTATTCCCAGTGTCTCTGCTGCTCTTTGTCCCACCCTCAGTCTCCTGTGCTATGACGCATCAGCCTTGGGAGCTTCTTTCCGTCCGTTCTTCTGGGACAGCGAATCTGACTTCTTCACCGTCTTCCGAGGAGGACTCACCGGTTCGGCGGCAGCAGCAAGCTCGTGTAGCGATGGCTCCTTATACATCGCAACTGTGAGACAAAGATAGAAGCTGTTGATTAATAATAAAGGAGGTGATTATTAAGTAAGAAGCTGGTTTAGATTGTTCTTAAGTGTCACAAAGGACACAAACCCTCTATCACTTTAGGCAGGAAGTGTGCTGCTCCTTTGGTCTTCTTTACCCGGTTGCCCTTCATGACCTGGCCATCACGGTTGATACCGATATACCAGGAGCGGCCAGACTGGGTCTGGCGATAGAGCATGGAGGAGTATGTAACGTAGTAGTTCTCAAACACACTCTCCTTGAACTTACACTCCGGAGTGAAGTGCTCCTGAAATGAAATATGGAAATAGGGGAAAGTGGGTGAGAGGTGCATTCGTATTAGCAAATATAGAAAGAGAAGAAAAAGGACGTAAACTGTGAAATATCTTTTATGAGTCTTTGAACATGAACTCCAATGCATGTGAGCACTCATTTGAAAAAACAACAACAACATGTATACAAGAAGTGAAATACATTAGGTGACTGTTTCCTGAAGGGGAAAGATGGATAGAATTATATCTGGACTTTCTTTGAAAGCATGAACATCCTGGTCCTCTGGGAACAGCAAGACATGGATGCCTTCTAAACATGTAGAAATAGCACTAACATCTCTGGTAAACATATCATATTCCCAAAGGAAAAGAGCAGAGAAGATCAAAAGCACTGAAACACTGCCACACCAAAATTAAGTAAGTCTATACACACACACACACACACACGCACACACACTTTACATACTGAACATGTGAAGGAGTAATTCTGACATCAACCTGCAGTGACTGCTTCAGAGGTATCCCAAGTTTAGAAGACTAACTTGCTCTCAACATGGCGACGGCCGAGCCAGCCTGTATGACATTCAGTTTGCTTATTTGGTCCAAATATTGAAGCAAAACTCAAATATATTCAATTTGATATTTTAGAGGAATAAGAAAACCACTTAGATATTAGTGAGTGAATTTTTCCAGTTTTACTTTGAAAAAACCTACTTAAATGTAGCCAATTTATTACATTAAGTTGTTCAAGTTGTTGATTATTCGACCAATCGTTTCAACACTAATTAAAAGACCTTATTTGTTTACCTTATTGGTTAAAAGAAATGGCCTTCATGTGAACTGCTCACAACTCATAGACATCGAAGTCAAGTAGGGGTCATAAATAGACACCGCTTAATTTTAAGGGGTCGCAAACCAAAAAGATTGAGAACCACTAGACTAGCAGGTTTTTTTCAGACTCTTGGTCTGTAGAGACGATAGTAAGATTAATCTCCCTTCATTCCTCCAAAAGAGAATGATCCATTTGTGCTGTCAATTGTCCGAGACTGCTGAATCTGAATGGACATTACAAAATCAAATTAGCAAAACTTGGATCAAATCCAACAGTAGAGCCGGTCGTTGTAAATGATCATGTTCCAGCAGCACGTGCCCTCCCTCTCCATCCTCAACATAAGGACTACTGAACCCTGCATAATGTTGACTGGTGATATTAACCAATAGAGACAGGTATACATCTCTCTTAGTCTCCATCGGGGTCTTGACAGGGTCCTTCCCCTGTCAGAGAGCAAAGCCAATCTGCTGGATTGATTAAGTGAGAGCAGAAATGGCTGAGTGGAGAATTTCTGTGAGACTCGGGATGACAGAAAAGGGCCAACGGATCACGACTTGGCATATACGGGCTTTAACAACGAGCCAAAAGTAGATTGAGAAGGTATAAGAGACCCCCAGCTTCACACTTATCACAGATCATCACCTTTCTCCTTCACACATCCTTTAGCTGAGACTGCAAATCAGGACTTTGTGCCCTTTCTCCGTCTACTCCTGCTCTCGTCCCACCATTAAAATAAAATAAAAAATAAAAAAACAAGCCCCTACCCTTAACTCAACAAACTCTCCCACATCGCAGAGCTATTTCAAGATCCTCTGACAGGTTTGATATCTTCTGCTGTGCTAACACAAAGAGGATGGGATCGATAGATGATCTGCTTCATTCATTATTAATCAGGCCAGAGAGCAAGAAGGGTGGGAAGTGCGCGAGACAGAAGGGGAAAGGTAGGGGAGACAGGAAAAGAGAGCAGAAGTTCGGAGAGGACAGAGGGGTTGCTGGGTAATAGAGGAGATTAAAGATTAAGAGGAGCGAGACCTGCTTCTTTGCATCTCCCCCAGGACCGAAGCTGGGCTGACAAGGGCTTTAGCGTATCATGGTGTGACACTGAATGTCCCTCTGAAAAGAGAACCCATCACTCCAAACAAAATACCCTTCAGCTCAACCTCCGGGATGACTCCAGTGATAACCCCTCTCCCAAGTCACCCTATAATTACCTAAATTAAATCAACTTAAATTAGCCTAATGATAGAACCCACATCCTCTGTATTTCATTCAAGTAGTCTCAAAAGGTATAATATATATACACTGAGAGAGCAGACCAGAAGAAATATTGTCCTGACAATACAAAGACAGACCTTTTTAAAGTAATTTTTCATGAACACCTATACACAAGGGCCAATATACCTGTCCCTGACTGATACAAATATGTCGCTGTGATTTCCCCCCATCTCTGAAGCTCACCTTGAGGCAACCTCCAGAGCTCAGCAGAACTACGGGGACCACCCGGGGGTTAACCAACTGAAGATATCACTCAAACCAACAGATTTACCTGCGCAAATGAATCATTGTTGGGGATGTGTTGAGGGCTGCACATTTTTAAGAGTGATGTGGGAATATATCCTGGACTAGGTGCTCGGACTAGAAAGGAAATAAAAAGCTCTTGCGTCTACCGCGACACATTGAGAGACTTAGGTAGCTTTCCTGCCTCGTGTCTTAAACCAAAAATTTAATTTAAATGAAAGGAGGTGAGGAAAGGTAATATGTAGCATCCGTGCTGAGAATCCCCAAGATGAGAAGAACCTTTTTATGATGCGGAGCAGTGTCCCGACCCCCCCCCCCCCCCCCCCCCCCCCCCACACACACACACACCACCTCCTTCCTCATTCCTCGTGTCTGATTACATCTATTCTACCTGCTTCAGGAAGCCTATAACTCTCCATGCCACCATACCCTGGGATTGCACTCGCCACCAAATAGGGACAGTGAAGTACTAACAATACACACTCAAAGGGCAGATTTCCTTCAATCCGACTGATGTCTTTCCCTGCATTCAATTAGGATACAAGAAGAGGAAAGTTGTGACTAAAAAGATAGAGGATACTTGAATCCTCTCATTTCATCGGGCATGCACAAGCATTAAATACAAACTGATGCCTCTGAAAATTTTATGTCTAGGCCTACTTCTGGATTTCAAAAACATGTTTTAGCATTTCTGATGTGCAGTCCCCTATTTAGACAGCAGGGGTCACAGTGTCATACAGGCTTCTATTCTCTCTATCTATTGACTGTCCCATCAGGTCTCACGGTAATCTACAGGAAGCTGTGAAATCTGCAGTAATCCCACAGTTTTTCCACAGAACTGCATTACTTCTGCAGCGACCCACTCGCATGGCAACGTGAAATGTAAAGCTCATTCACAACAATCCTCATGCACCTAATCCACGTGTGTGTGTGTGTGTGTGTGTGTGTGTGTGTGTGTGTGTGCGTTTGAGTGTATGCAATGCAGAACACCACCAGCAGGGCATGTTGCTGATGTTGTTGTCACACCAGATGTAGCTGCACTCCGACACACCACGTAACATAAGTCAATAGGGCATAGACGCGCTTATTTAGAGGGGTTTAAAGAGGATGAGACCGGCAGTTAATACCGTCTAGCAAAACACACGCAGCGTCCGTCTGTAATGCTTCATGATCGCCCATTGAGGCCCACGTGGCGAGTGCCTCTGCAGCGTTGACTGACAGATGAAAGGCCCCTGTCAATATAATGTAGCTGAGAGAGGAATGAGTAAGATGGGACACAAAGAAATGGTGGTCATCAAAACACAAGAACTACGTTGGAGTTTTGGAAGGAGAGCCCCTTGACGAGGAATGCCTACATCAAGAGCCAATCAGAAAGAGTCGTTTTCTTGCTTTCACTGAGCTCTTAATTGGCTGCCTGGCGAAATGTATTGCCCCTATGGTTGCATTTCTGCACGTCATCTGCTTTCTCTTGCTCTGGCCAATTATTCTCTCCGCTACTTTTTCTAATGTCCACATTTTATCCTGTCCTGTGATAAAAGCGGTGCTATCTCTCCCTGCTGCTGTTGTCCTGCATCTCAACGTAATCCTCCCATGAAAAGAATAGAAAGGACACAGCGCCTATAGCTTTTCATCAATAGGTCTCCCGCTCTCTCTTTCTTTATTCCTCTCCTCTGTCTATCTGCCTGTCTTTCTCACGCTCCCTATCGCACACACGCACACACTATAACAGGCCTATACGGATCACAAGCAATAGCGTTTATCGTGCAGTTATCCTTTAAATGTCTCTTTAATTAATGCGTCAAAGGACCGTATGAAGTGTTTGATTGGGTGCTCCCAGGTGAGAGCTGACAACTGTGAGAAAAAACGTGGTGAAATCTTTGCTCGATACAAAACGGCCACAACGATCAATTTAGAGCTCCCTGCGACCACATTTTCACAATGTGACCGCTGCTAAAACCTTATAATAACCATCCATTGCTTTTATTTCCATGTATTCTTGGCAGGGATGTCCCAATCAAGTTGTTTTGGCCCTGATCAGAGTCTGATCTGATACTTATATGTTGATTAAAATATGCATCTGACTCACTGGAATAACAGCTGGAGCCCGCTAAAATCGGACACGCCTCGTTTTTCCCAAGCTGCTTGATCTATACACTGATGGTCCTGGTTCAAAGCTATCATACGTTTAAATTGCTGATCTGATATAAGTGAGTTTAACTGGGAGAACGCGACTCCTGAATTTGACACGACGTGATCAGAGAAGACGTAGTCCATTTGTGATTGTACAGAGGCTGTACAGAGCGCTTTTACCAGAGAAGTTTGCCCTGCCACCAGGTTACTCACAGAATTAACATAAGTTAGCGACAGCTGATATGACCTGCTGTCATTTTAACGAATAAAAGTGACGGACAGCACCCTCTAAAAACAGAGAGAAGCTCCTATACCTGAATGTTGTGTACGCTGCTCTGCGCTAATGAGGAAGAGGGAGAAGAGATTAAAGATTCCTTAGCATCTTGAGTTAAGTGAATCTCTGTATTTTTCCAACCTCTCTGTCTAAACCCACTGGTGCGCCCAAATATTTTTTTTTACATCACACACTCAAATTTGCTTTGATATAATAAAGGAGAGCAGCACTGCATCACTAAGCGGGCGAGGTAAACAAAAGCGCAATACAAACAGTGAAATAAAAAGTTTAATCGGCTCCATTTTAGCTGATACTGATCCTTTAAAATATGTCTGGATGAGGGACATCGCATTCTTGGCATTTATCGTCCAATCTGACGTGCCTCAAAATTGATATCGTAGAGTCTAATACAGATTGCAAGAAAGATTTTTGTCATGCGTTTCATTTCGATTATTTTAGGTTATTGCATTTGTCAGAGACCAGGTACAAACACACAATAATCTCACTCAAGGAAATGAGATGTGCTGTAGCAACTAGCTAAATTCCATCTTCAGTTCCTGACATTTAAAATGTGCACAAACACCTGCATGAAGGAACCAAATATTTACAACAACAAGCAAAGCCCATGTCTAAATCCTGATTGGCACAAGAACTGCTTCTGTGAGACAGCCTCCTTCAACACTCTCTCTCTCTCTCTCTCTCTCTCTCTCTCTCTCTCTCTCTCTCTCTCTCTCTCTCTCTTTCTCTCTCTCTCTCTCTCTCTCTCTCTCTCTCTCTCTTACTCTCTTTCTGTCTATGAGGAGTTTTCCAGAACACATAGATTATAAAATGGGGCACGAATGAGCCAAGCTCTATTTTTATATCAGGATCAGCCATTTCCTGTTGTCACCTACAGGTAATGAGGTTGAGATTTATGTGTAAGACAAGGCAGCAGTGGACTTAGTCTGCTTGTTATAGAGCCTGGCTCCGCGACCTGGACACTGTGTGTCTGTCTGTGTGTGTGTGTGTGTGTGTGTGTGTGTATGTGTGTGTGTGTGTGCGTGCAGGGGACATGTGAGAGGGATTCAAGGAAAACCTGTGAGTTATTCAGGGGAAAGAAACATAATTGCCACCATTAAGCATGCAGAAGTGGCAGTCTATGCAAGAACATGAGAAAAAAGCTGCAAGGAAGCGACTCGTCACACTGTCGGTCACCTCGTGAGTGACAGTGATGAACATATTTATCGTAAATGAAAACATTCCACGTGTGCGTCCACGCACACTCTTTGCAGGCTTTTAACTGTAAAAGCAAATATGAACACCGGTGTGTATAAAGGGCCATACCGTGCCACCTGCACTCCCTCCTGCAGCAGCAAATTAGCACATCAGACACAGTATAGGGAACAATATGCGGTCATAAAATCAAACACGCTTGATGTTACACAAGAAGACAGCTGTTCTGCTGCGCTGCACTTATACCGACAATGTCGCTGTACGTGTGTGTTTTGGAGAGAGGAATTTTCTCTGAGAAAGGTCAGTGGTAGGATGCAGTGCAGCTATTGACATGGCGCTGAGGAAATCCCTTCTCCTCTCTGCTCACAGAGGCAGGGCACCAAAGTCTAATGCATTAATCAGGGGCTCTGCTGGAACCAACACACAGATGACCTCTAAAGAGCACATATTTATACAGGGGCACTGACATTTATTGTTACATCTCCACTAAACTCTGCAACAGCATGCTCTTGTATTATCCTCTGATATTTTTATTCATATAAAGTATGTATATGGTATACATATGTGTGTTATCTGTGTGTGTTTCAAGAGGAACAATCGAGTGAGGACATAATATCAACACGGGTAGAATTATCAAAATATTTCACACAATCCAACTTATTTTACTGTAGGTATTCTGGCCCCATTCTTTTTAGGGCTGTAACGATAGACTGCTTTCTGAGCCTGGTCAGTGAGATTTATAGCAACATGTGTATTACTTGATTGCTATTGTGCTGTTGGCTTATACAGAACTGGATAGACGACAAGTGAATCGTAAATTTCCCGTAACAGCTTTGTAACAGTAGTTGTTTGTCATGGGGATGTGAGCAGTGTTATGAGCACTGCTCAGGGTGCTGATCAGAGTAAGCAGCTCCACTAGTTGCAGAGGATGGGCTTCTACACTTCCTTTGCTAAAAGATTTAATGGTTATACATGATCTTAATGGTTTGGGCCATTTTATCTCGCTAAACTTAAAGCCACGTTGCAAGCGCTGTCCAAGGTGCTGATCAGACTGTGTGCTCTAAAGCTGGCTCCAGCGCTGTCCTAAGCAATGATCAGAGCACATGCTGGGATTAGCACTGTCCAGTGAGTGCACAAGGGTTTTCACCAGAATTACAGCTTGCAGCTTACTCCTGAAACTGGCTGAAAATGAAGACAATGCCTTCTGCTAATATAATAGCATGTCTCTCGATTGCAAGTTGTAGATTGTGTCTGGTGGTAAATAAACTGAATATATCAATTTGCCACTTATACTGTATGAAGCCCTGATGGCTAATTGACGGATATCCCTCTGACACTTTGTTAGACAGACTTTAAATGATACTTAAGAAGTGCTTTGCAGCATTGACTAAATTGGATAAAACTAGTTGTTGTATACTGACACTCTGTCATGGGTCTTACACATCAAACAGTTCAGCTATACATAATGCTGTCTCCTGGTCACCTGGAACTGGTGTAATGTATATTAATGTAATAATTCAATCAGTCAAAGTTTTTTGAGATTTTGCACCTGTTAAATCTCAAAAAACAACAACTAAATAAATGTAACATACTTACCACTTTCCCAACTGCCTGGACCCTAAATCTGTCAATAGTTTGTGTACTCAAGAGACCCCAGATTATCCAACAGTTTTACACCCACAGTCCATTTTTCCCTCCATGTCTTTCCCGAAAATAATTGGAATATTAATGTAAAAACTCTTAAGGCGTATCACCCTGGCTTTCACTCCCCGTCTCACTATAACCAGGTTTCCATCCAAATTTATTGCAGATTTTAACCAAATTTTGAGAAAAGAAGCAGAAGCTTTTGTTGACGTCATGCTTTATGTACGTCTTCATTTATTCGGTCAATCTGTTTCCATTGCACGATGATGCATTTAGTTTTTTTATTGATACACCAACATTTCCAAGTGTAAAAACTTTTAGGCAATATTTATTACAAGATTTCTTTTTAAATTTTACGTGTTTCCACTTTTTTTATCCGCTAATTGAAAATGCACACAAAAACTGGAAAAAATTCTCCTTCATACATTCATGCACACTTAAACATGCACTCACAACTATGTGTAAAGCACACATACTGTATACATGCATCACATACTATAGCTTATTAAACTGGTAAAATGTTTTATATTCACATATTATATTGGCGCGCTAACCATCCGTGCAAGTCTGGACGAATCTGAAGTGTTTGAGATAGTAAGTGAGTTTTAGTGGGATGCATGTGTTTGGGAAGTACTGAGCATACAACTATATTAATTGGACTTGGATTATACTGCAAGAGTCGTGTGAATTTGTAAGCGGGTGTTTTGATATTGTGTTGCTGTTGTTAAATGCAGCCCCAATTTGCTTCAATTCATCAGACTTTTCTCCATATTTTGTCTCTTCGTTCATCCACTCATTACTAGCTAAAACCAGAGCAATCTTAACCCGTAGGGGTGTACTCACCGAGGTATAGAGGTATCCCTCACTGTTCATGGCGAGGTATAATCCTGTCTTTGCCCCCTGTATTGCAACAATCCGCAGTCCCACTGGTATTAAGTTGAACTGTGCTGAATTGGGGAATAAAGTGGGAGAGATAGGGCACGACAAAGACAGAGAGAAAAAAAGAAAATCAAACTGTAGTACTGTGTAGCAACAGAGTTTGCTTTTTTGTCTTTATCGTATGGCTGAATGGTTGCACTCTCACTGCTGATGATATATCTCTCTTAAGCACAAATATTGTGACTCCTCAGAGTTTATGTTATGCCAACACAACACTACATCACCTTCGCCATGATTTACACTGCCTCAAGAAATGGAGCTTAGAGCAGAGGTAGATATACAGTATATGGGTTGATTAAACTACTCTGAACCTGCTACAATAAAAGAGACAACTCATCAATAAATGATTTATGTTGTTCAATAAATACAATTTTCGATCTTAAAAATCTGCCCTATTCAAATTACAGTCTGAAAAAGGGCCCATGAAGGTCAAATAGAGATATAGAAAGACCTGATACCAGGAAGAGAACACCGCATAGTTTCTGATCTGAAAGCCACAATTAGATTGCAAAAGGTCAGGATGAACATTCACATCATCTCAATGGTGGCAGTATGTCACTTGGAAGCACTCAGGTAGCAGCTTTTGTGATTTATAAACTTCAACGTTTCAAATCCAATCGCTATCTGTGATTTGAAACCCAGTGTAGATGGCCTGTAAGGACGAGCACATATATCAAGCATTTCTGCATATGAGCAAGGGCCCATTAACTTACCAAAGTTTGGCAGTTTGACGGGATGTTCCTTCCCATTAAAAGACTAAAATAACGGTACAAATTGGAACAAATTTAGACATGAGCTGACAAAATCCTAACTTTTGCTTTGACTCTTCAGCCACAGGAACATATAGCACAGTGTGACACCTGCTGTTAAGCTCAGTTTGTAAAGTACAGCATTAACTTTGCCAACGTTTGAGATTTGGCTACCGATGGGGTCATGAGCTGTTCCATATATGAGCTATACAATGGTTAAAACTGCAGGGGTTGCATGCGTTCTATCCAATACCGCTGTGAATAAATTGTCTGTCATTAGACAACATGGCCACAAGCAAAGACATGTTGGCTATAGGCGGAAACACACTCACAAAATGAGCTGCTTTCATCCCTCGTGCTGTCCATGGTGCCATCAGGCTGCATCTGCAGGTAGTATCCATGTTGGCTGTATAGCCGAGTAACAATGCCTTTCAGCTGTGGCTCTGCAAGGGAGCACAGGAAAACAACATTATATTAGACCGGTGCCAACGCTAGAGGTTAGGAGCAGAAAGGACATTCACTGATTTACTGAACCTGGAAAAGGAAAGGGTTTGTCAAATATTTCACTGAGCTCAGAGGAGTTTTACTTTGTGCAATACCTGAAGTTAGAAGATGGTAATGTTTAATATCTAAAACTTTGGATCATTGGATGGATTGCATTGAACAGACATTCATAGTCTCCAGAGGATAAATCCTCATCAATTTGGTGATCCACTGTCTTTTTGTCCAGTGCCACAATCACGTCAGAATTCAAATGTTCCCAATACAGCTACAGAATTGATGACGTTATCATTATCCTCAATTGTTGTTGAGTGATAGTGATAATGTACAAACATTATACCCGCCACACATCAGCATGCTAGCATTGTCATTGTGAGCATGTTAGCATGCTGACGCTACTGAATGCAGCCTGACATGCCGTTCTACTCGTATCATACCATCAACCAGTGTCAAACTGGTCTAGAAACGTTACATACAAGACGTGTGATCTCATACAGTGTCAGTATGGGTTTATGTAACACCATTCTCCTCCTTCATTTCCAGTATATGAATAACAAAAGCATTTAAGAAATCAAGACCCACGAAAGGCCTATTGAGCATCAATGTAACGCCTTTAGGGAGTTTTACCAGGAGGGAAGATGCCTGGCAGAACAGATTATGATTGATCTCTGATATCATTAACATAATAGAGGAATACTTATCCAACATTAAAACACTTCACAGTCCTACAAAAGAAAAGAATACAGCTATTTATATTGTATAATTCTTGTCAGAGATTTTTCTCTCGAGGATAGAAAATGTAAAAAATAAAAAATAGAGAGTTTAGGCTTTCAGTATGTCTTAATTAGTGAATTGTCTTAATTAGTGAATTGCCCAAGGTACATTTTTGGACTTATTCCTAATACTAATACTGGGAATGCCTAACATACAATGAATCTAAATTCTGTAGCAGCTTGTAATTCAACTCATGAATAAAATGCATGTATAACATAAGCTGTAAGGAACCGTTTACTTGTTACTTGTGGTATTTTTAGGACGAGCTGGGGTCATCAGAGGATGAAGTCAATTGGGAGAGTTGGTCGGTCTCCCACTAAATAAAATATATATAATCAAGGGGGCTGGGTGGTGGAGGGTGATAGAGAGATTGAATGTTTCATTAGTGGAGTCCCCGCAGCCTACTTTGCGTTCATTTAAGAAACAGACAGAATCTTTGCAGCAGCTCTCAGACAACACTAGAGCCACCCTCAATTACGCGAAGCACTCTCTCTGCGTTGAGGAAATCTAAATTGTCTCCTGAGCGCAGCACCTCTCCGCCTCGGCCAGGCTACTCCAACTGCAAGGAGAACCCCGCAGGTCCCCTGACTTAGATGAAAGCTCAGTCAGTGAACTGACCAGTCTCCTTCGATGCAGCCTTTAAAAAATGGAGATGGAAACATGAATGAAGGAGCCGTTCCTGACAGAGCCTCTGGAGGATTTAGGGCCATCTGGGAGCTTCCCCTGCTGCTAAACCTCGGCCATGTCCTCACACACATTCCCCAGGAAAGGGGCCCAGGGCACTGCGCAATCTGCCCGTCTTCTCGGACTGGCACAGGAAGCAAGAGAGTGCCAGAGGATGCAGGGAGGAGATCTGTAAGACTATGTCCCAGAGGAAGTGTGCCAGGGTTGAGGCATCAGTGAAAGTGTGACCTACTCCCATTGTTACATGCAAGCATCTGCAGCGCTCTCCCACCCTCTCTCTCTCTCTCTCTCTCTCTCTCTCTCTCTCTCTCTCTCTCTCTTTCAAAGCTGCTTGTCAAAACATTTCAGTATCTCCTACTCCTGCACTTTCTTCTTCGTCTTTATTCCATTTTCCATTCCATTGTCCTTTGAGCTATGTATGCTTTCATCCCACCTAATAACATCACACGTCGTCCAATCAGAGCAGGGGACGCCGTTCGTTACTTGTCCCCACAGATGCGAGACTGGGAGATGAGAGGGCGAGAAAGACAGAGAGGGAGACGGCAGGATCAGGGAGGAGAGGAGTGAGCAGAGGGATGGCAGGGGAACAGAGTGAATGAGATGACACTGTCATTTCATCAAGAGTGACGGCTGTATGTGTGTGCGAGAAAAATAACACATTTAGGCACAACTTCAATAGACAGCTTGTGCAATATGGCTGCAATCAAAACTCCGATGCTTGGCGTCAGGGGCACTAAAACTAATGTTTCACTTAGCAGAGCTGGCTCTAACTTCAAAATCCTCATCCCGACGCACAATAAATACTGATCCAGTGTAATGAAAGTTCCCCAGCAAAAAATATAAAAGTCTGTGTTTTACCGCAGCTGTATTAGAGGTTTCTGGGATGATAAAACACCTCTTGCTCTTGCCACCTTATTACCATACAAATATTGCAACTTTGGACTATTGAGGCCTGAAGTCATGTTTTGTACTCGAGAAGTCGGTGTGCCTTCATTATATCATCGTGGTAATTTGGACATAAAGGAAAGTGAACTCATGTTTTGCTACTGAGACAAAGTGATGTTGTTCATTTAGAACTGGAAGGTACATGTCAATGAGGTTGTAGAAAGGTGTAATGACCTTTAGTGTGGTGTGTTACTGTAGATGGAAAGAACAGTTGGAGTCACAGATGTATTCTGTCTTACTAAGATCAATAAACACAGCTGCGTTTGCATGTGACCAATAGTTTGTATAATCTTAACTTTATTAACTTTAATTACTTAGATTACTTAAAAGATTAATGATGGCATCATCAACAAATCATTCTAGATTTTGGATTAGAAAGGAAGCCAGGTCCACAGGAGGAAATTCAGCAGGAAACTCCTGGAGGACATAAAACTACAGCCAATACCCGTCAGCATTGTTGACGGTATGGCACATGAAAGACTGAGTGTCCAACTGAGAGTAGTAGTTGTAGAAATACTACTGTAGTAAAAATACTACATGTGCTACTTCTTGTAACAAAGTATTTTACAGTGTCAAATTTACACCCTCTCTGCCACGGATTCATATCCCTTATTCTGTCACTCTCCACCTCTGTTGCATCTGCTGAAACCACTCCAAGCTAATGTCACGCTAACAGTTTAAACAGTTCTGAATCAAAGTCTTGGCCGTCAGTGAAGGTGTGCACTGAAGTCACTGTTACTACTTTCAGTTTCAGCCAGTAAGCAAGACGCTTTGTGTTGTTTGAGAGAAACACGAGCAGTTACCGGCCTGTTTAAATGTGAGTTACCGTGGGGTTATGAATTCAGTGTGACCATCAGATGTTATATGGAGGCATTCGACAGGGTGGCTGTTGTGGGTGGTGAACAGGACGTTGTCTCGTAGTTTGGGGGCAGAGTGTCCCAGGGTACGACATAGATTCTGTAAAGATTTTTAGGGTCTAGAAGACAGAATTTGTGGATTTTTCTCAAGAAAAAACGAAATCACTTTTCCTGCAATGAACACAATAAAATGGGTCCAGGATCAATAGATAGTGTGTTAAAATGACTACAGGTAGTTTACAGGTAGTGGATTTAGTGCTAAGTTCCTCTTTGCTTTTCTTCCCACGTAGGCTGGCATCTACTGTGAAATTCTGAAGCTCTCATTTGGCTCCAATAGTTGAGTGCAGGCTTTTAACAACATGCAAATGAACAAAACTGTGCATAATCATAACACTGACTTGACTCAGTGTCATCAAATAGCAAAGATGCACTACAGCCCCATGTGTATTCTGCCAACTGCTCCCCTCTCACCGTCCTGTCAGCATCCGAGTCTGCATAATGTGCACACACACACACACACACACACACACTACCTCACACAAACACAAACAGACACACACACTTGTTCTGCTGTAAATGTTGCAGTTCGTTGGCATTAGGAGTGAATACATCAAGGCCTCAACAAACATGTCACGTTGTCACCAAAGCAACACGCCCCTTTCATCAAAAAGTAAAATAGAGGACGTGGCACAGAACACAAACACACATCTGCCAAAATCAGATCAGTCTCTTGAAGAAGTTCTGTAAACCAGAGAGTCAGTACAGTCTGTGTGTACTTTGATATTCTCTTTATTTTACAGGTGGAATGTTTCACACCGCATACTTGAATAGGAAGTCTTTTATGATGTCTTCATGAACTGCAATGAACTGGAACATAGCTTTTTTTTGTACCTTTCATGTATCTGCTGCAGGGGATACATTAAAGGGGTACTCAAGAGAGAGAGGACTGGTCAAAATCGAAAAAGCTAAAGCCGAGAAATTTCTGACATTTAATCCGTAGTATGGCTGAAGCACCAAGGACATTATATGCTACATTTACTATAATGCAACTGGATAGCCTTTTTTCATTATACCTTCCCTGTCCCCTAAATGTGCACTTCTTTCGAATCCCACAACTTCAATTTGAAGTTTCAAGTCCAACCATTTTTTTCTTTTTCTTTAAAGAGCCACAGAAGACATAATACAAGTCTTTTCACAGGCTTTCACAGGCAGTGGGAAAACTCCTCCTGATGACTAAACTCAAGTTCACGTGTAAAATCAGTGGAGTTCCCCTTTAAACTTTAAGATAACAGTGAGCCCACATTAGGCAACCCAACTCCCCCCCCCCCTTCATAATCCTTTGAGAAGTAGACTGACAGATAGTGACACACTGTGAAAGCAGTCTACCTCTGGTTAGATTAACAAAAGCACGCAGACTTGTTTACATGAGCCAAAAGCCTGCGTTTGTATCACGAGGATGCGTAGTGGACTCATGTGGTCTCTGCTCCACAGGGGTAAACGGAGAAGATGATAACTCGGAGAGCTGCTTACTCAAAGGTCATATTTAGTGATTTGGGTGTGTTAGGGCATACTTGTATTCAGTAAGACAATATTTTATATGGCAAGAGGCCAAATTTGATAAAACCATAACCCAAACACATCTAATGTTTGTGTGAAGCATCTCACAGTGCTGTGAGTAAGTC